CGCGGGGCTTGGAGGGGGCTGCTGCCCTCACCCCGGTGCCACGGCCCTCCGCATCGCGGCCTCAATGTTACTTGCAGGTGAAGGAGCTTTTGTATCCGATTTCCTTGTTTTTGGTTCATGAAAAGGAAGCTGATGAAAAGAGAAGATGCTGACCCATGATGGAGAGTGGGCGAGAGAGGATGCGGGCATGTAGGCGTGGGTCGGAGGACCACAGGCGTGTTGGGAAGAAAGGGATGGAGACTCAGGGCTCGCTCAACCTGAGGGTTCACACGAGCGTGGATGGAGAAACAGAAATCCTTAGCCTGCTCCTGGGCTTTTTAACATTCCTAATAAAATACTCACTGCTAAGGGTCTTTATATGGGATAACTCTTGGGCAAATTCCTTAGGAATTTCAGTTTCTCTTTTAATACTTACATTTTGTTTTTAGCAATAATGTTGCTGTGACCACAGTGGTCTGAGGATATAAGGGAAATGAGGTTTGCAGTAGCTCCCTGTTAAGAAAAATAACAGTAAATGTGTTTTTCTTTTCTCTTGGGTAACTGTTAGGAAGGGGAGCATTTGTATCTGAGGTGATGCTCTGGCTTCTCAGGTAGATTATACAAACTTGTTCTAAAAATTCACGCAATTTAAAGTCTTAAAAATCAATTAAAAATGTAAAAATACACCTATTTACCTGTAAATAGCAATGACCCTGTAGGTTTTTTTTTGGATCTATTCAGCAGCATTTGAAACAAAACACATTTTTAGAAAATCTGATCTATCACATAATCTGTCTAAAGAAATATAATGGCTTTCTGAGCTGGACAAGAAGTTTGTTTTCAGTGAGTTTCTTGACATTTTTGTTTTAAAAATTATTAATAAGAAAATGAGTCAACAAGGAAATTCACATACAAAATCTGCACTTGAGTAACATTAAAGTCCCTTCCCAAATATTGGGAAATTCGACTTATGGCTAGTGCTCTGTTCCTATATTTTGGGGTCACATTATGAAAGGCCACCTGCACAGAGATTGCAACATCTCCAGCCACGTCTCCTGTTCGAAGACATGAACTCCTCAGACAATTTGAACTCACGCTTGGACCCAAAGCACCCAAAAACTGACTGTGGCTTCAGGTCCCAGTCTCGGGGATTGCTCCATCCTGCAGGTGGGGCCGTTTGCAGAATTTCTCTCCAAACCTAGACCCAGATTCTGGAAAAAAAAAAAAAAAAAAAAAAAAAAAAAAAGTCCAAAAGTTTCCTGGAGACCAGATCTCAGGCTCTGGTCCAAGGCCATGGCTTCGCATTCAGCACAGATGCACCCCGAAACCGGGCTCTGTGCACACAACTGTGTGTGGGCACAGGCACCCCCAGAGCAGTTCGAGATGGCCTGCCAGAAATTTGGCTTTCACATCTTCTTCAGGTCTCCTTGGTCTCCTCTGTCCACACTTGACATTGTCTAAAACTTGTTTCTGTCCTCCAAAAACTACAGAACCAGACTTGGGAGGAACAGGGGAGCAAAGACCAGCCCAAGAGAGGCTCAGCAGAGGGACAAAGTTTGCCTGTCCATCCTTTTAAAGGACTTTATCATTGGGACTGCCTTAGTAGCCAAACAAAACTGATTTATTTTCTTGTATCTAGTGGTTAAGACTTCTTGCGGGAGATTACCACCAGCAGTGTGTGATACAGGCATGGGGGAATTGAGGGAATGGAAGTGAAGACTTTGCAGGGAGTATTGGACTATGATTTAGGACAGGAATGAAATTATTTTTGTCAATAAGCAACGAGCAGGCTCTGTTATCGTTTACGCAGGCATAAAACATTTCATGGAAATAAGCATTATTTGGAGTTAATTATGGGGTACGTTAACCCAAAAATCCATGTCTTTTTGCCTGGATGAATGAGAAGTGATGATTTATGGCATGGTTGTGGATGGAGGCATGTGTCAGAATTTCTTTGAAATGATGCCAGAGATAAAGGTGGAATATTTCTTACACATACCAAAAAAAATTCTGTGTGAAATTCGTAGCAGCAAGAGACAATCTGTGCTGCATGTATATAAAAGCAGTTTTCTGTATCCAGTGATTGTGGGACAATTTCAACACCTTGTAAATCTATGAGTCAGAAGATCTTTATAAACTCTGCTGTAGTAACTTGAAGAGGGAAAACACAATTCTTCCTATGCAGTCTCTAAAGGAGGTAAAGACTGCCAGATTTCAGCCTGTGGAAAACTCAGAGGACACAGTGGAACTGCATCTCCTTGGGATACTCCTCAGGAAAGCAGAAAGTATCTGCTTTCAAGGGCGTAACATCATCTGGGCAGGAGAAAGGGATTTTGCAAAAAGAACTAGGAAATGGACATTCAAAATAGAGCCAATAGGGCTTCAAAATTAAGACATGATGAAAATTACATCCCACAAAAATCATGCCTTGAAGTCCTGTTGACTTTGCCTTCTATATTAAAAGATCAGTCATATACCTGTGCTGCAATAGGACCCCATGACATCATCCTCATCCTTGTCTGGAATTCCTACCTTTATAACATACCCTTCTGTGCCAAATTTCTAGCAGGCCTCGAAAAGTAATTGCAAACAAATAAGATAATAAATCTTCGTTATCTCTGACTTGGACAAAATTTGCAGTGAGCAGCTGGCTGGAGCAATGTTGAATTTTGCTTTGCCCAATGCAGTTTCCATTCCTGTGGTCACTAGAAAACACATGCCACCAAGTCTGATTTGGAACCTGCTGACATTTCTTGCTCTACCAGGAGGCATCTCATTTTGCAACACGTCAAGGGCAAATCTGCACAATTTGCAGCCATTTTGCATTCAAAGATTTCTCTGTATGGAAGCCAAGGGCATCACTGGGTTCATGTTGCACAAAGGAATCTGGAGCCAAAAGGAGTTTGGGAGCACAAGCGGAAAGGGAAAAATTGCAGGAGGTAACAAAAAAAGGGATCAAATGGGAAAGAAAGGAACTAGCATGACTGGAAGCCTGGGTTCCCTATAAGAAAAATATTTTCCCCTCCTGAATGGTGAAAAAATGGCAGGAAAAATTGTGCAGAGCCTTTCCCCACTCCTCAATCCCATGTGAAGACATGCGTGTTGGTCCTGAGCCCTAGCAAAAGGATGGTTTTGTTTCCTATCTGCCAGCTGTCAGACTGCACCCTCATCCTCCCTAAGGCCAAAATAGCCCTGGGTCTCCCCTGGTTACTGCCTCTGGTCAAGCAAAGAGGAGGAGAGAAAAAGGCTGTGATTCTCCCTTCATCCCAAGCAAGTCAATGTCCAACCTCTCTAAAGGCCACACAGAAATGAAGTTGTCACCTAAATATCCTTAACAGGCTCTTGATATGACACAAGGAAGTTGTGGAGAAACGGGGTTTGCAATCACAGACACAGCCCCAGCAGAAAACACACACGGGATTTGGGCTGTAGGTCCATGGGAGGGTTCAGAGGCACAATGCCGGCCTTGGTGTCCCAGCCCTGGAGATGGATCCCAAACACAATTTCTCCTGATCCAAGCCCTTGCAAAAAAAACCCCACCAACCTATCCATGTAAAGGATCACTTTGTGACTTCGGTTTGGTCCCAAAAGAAACTCTGAGCATCACTTTTCCCCTCGCCTTCCCCCAGCTGAATGCACTGCTGAGGATCCCGGTAATGACACAACGATCTTTCCAAGAGAAAGTACTTTAACAACAACAAAACAGGGCAGACTTGGATTGGCACAACTTGCGGGCAAGCACAGGTAAGATGCTTCTGAAAGACCATGAAGAAATGAAGAAGCACCTCTTAACTCAGCTTGAGGGATCCAAACAAAACCAAAGGATATCCCAAGAACATGGGTGTGAGATTCTTGGCAGGGCAGAAGAAGAAAGGGAAGATTTTCACAGGGCATAGTGTGTGCAAAAGTGTTCAGGCACAATGCAAACTGTAAGAAAAGTGCCTGCTCTGACCAACAGGGCTTCAAAAGGACGGAGCTCAGCACTTAACTCGCAGCAACGCGGGGACCACGGCATCTTGCATATCCACCCTCTCCCTTTGGCCCGGTGGCTGTGCCTCCACAACAGCACTGTTGGCCACGAGAATGGCTTCACATGGTGGCAGCCCTCCAGAGGGGTTGCCTTTGGTTTGCCTTTGCTTCCAAAGCACCTCCAGGTCCATTGTCAATGGGAGGAGAGATAATTAAATATAATACATGGTTTAAAACGTAAAATTCCAGCCCCATAGTCTCTTGTCGTCCTCCTCTGCCTAATTTCTCTGCCCTCTGGGTGGCCTCTCTTCTTGCACTCAAGCTCATATTTCTGAGTTTTTCAACTACCTAAGATGGGATAATTTCCAAACCGTTATGGTTCAGAGCAGTATCCTAACCTGTCCCACTTTGAGGCCATGTCTTCTCTTCATGCAAATATTCCAGCCACCATCCCTCTCCTCCAGGGGCCTACGCAACATCTCCATGTATTATATTGGAATTATGCCACCTTCCTGACGGTTAATTGGGAACCACAGCGTAACAACCCCCCAGTAATTACACGTGACCTGACATCTAAGCCAGAAACAGACACGTGTTCATTCTGTGACTCCAAAATACCTAAAGATGTAATCACCAGTGCCATGACGTGGCAATTCCCACCCAACCCTTGTCAGCTGCCCGTTCCTGTGACCTCCAAAAGCCCCAGCCGGGTGATTTGTTCCTGCCCTGCACTTCTGAAGGTTCCCGAGAAATGCAAATTGCCTACCCTGCACCATGAAATAATTTCACCTAATGATCTTAGAAAGAGACTATGAAAGAAATCTGGACTTCACGGCTCCAGTTCGCTCACCACCGTGACCTCTTCCACAAAGGCAGGCTCCAACCTGCTCGTTCCCCCCCCAGTGTAAGCTGCAAGAAAGTATCTGCCAGCTAAGGATGTCCTAGAAGGAGGAAAACCTTAGCTGTCGATCTCCTCGAGAAGTTCAACGCGTGGACAGCCGGAGCGGGCAGCTGCCAGCACTCGGACGTGGCTCGGCGGCTGCAAGAAGGCTTCACTGCCTGGGGGCTGACCAGCCCATGTCACTGAAGGGTCCCTCGCCTGTGGCCGACCTGGGAGGAGGACCGCAGGGCGTGCAGAGGTCAGAATCGGTGTCTGATTCCCCTTCTGCAATGTAGGGTCTGATTTTGGCCACGGCTGCATAGCAACCGTTGTTAAGGATGTCCAAATTCTCTTTGGACTGGGAGATGCTAAAGCCGCTGAAAGAGCGCTCCAGTTCCTCGTGGTCTACCGAGGGGATGGAGATGGACGTGTCGCTGTCTCTCATGGCACTCTCGTGGTGTTTGGTTGTAATGTCTTCGTTCCTCAGGTACTCTGCGCTCGCCCTGTGCCCACCGCTGTACGCTGACAAGGAGCGCTCATGGGAGGGCGGAGGTGGGATGCGGACCAGCGAGCCGGGGTCTCCGACGGGCGAGGAGCCGTGGCTTTGCCGCTGGTAGACCTGCTGCTGGCACGATGTCGAGGGCGGGCACGTGTTGGTCGGGGCTGGCGGGGCGGAGAAGTTCTTCTGACCCATGGAGCTGGTGGACCTGATGATCTTGATGATGCAGCCGTTCTTGTCAATGTGCTCCCTGCTGTCTTCGGGGCTGTGGTAGGGAGGTGCTGGGTCTGGTTCTTTGGACCCAAAATAAGCCTCTGTCTCCGTTGGTGGGATGCCCATCCGCTGCATGTAAATGTTCACCAGGAAGTCCAGCTTCTTCTCCATTGATTGAACCTGCAAACCAACACAATTCAAGTGCTACACGCTGCACGCAGGTTGAAGCACATTAACTCCTGAGTACAAGCAACTTCCAACCCATCTAGGCACAAGTGTGGGGCTGGGCTTCATAGATGACCTCTGTCTACACCAACCTGAAACTTTTACTAAATATTCAATTGTCCTGTTCTGAAGTATTTAATTCTCCACCCTGTTTACAGGGTTTTCCTTAAGCTCCCACAATCTTTTTGACGGGCACCAAATTCCAGGAAAGCTGGAGCACGCTCGCACCCTTTCAGCTCCTTACTGCATTTGGCATTTGCCTGGGCTCAGATGGCCATGGGGATTTCTGAGCCTTATTCTCTAGGAAGATTTTCATCTTCTGCAAGGCCAGCAGCTACAGCGGCCAGGCTCGTGGACTCATTTGGAAGACGTCTAGTATGGTGGCAAAGAAACCAATGTGCCATTTTCAAACATAACGTAGACTTTTGGTAAACTCTCTAAAAAAGAAAAACTATATGTCACAGACTCCAAAGTGCCTGTTTTGAAAGTAGTACTTGGGCTTCTAAGACATTTAGTGCCCTTTCATAACATCCCCCTTGTTTCTTTTTCAAAATATTCTTAGCTCATACTTTTTTTTCTAAACGGTAATGTCTCATTGGGGAAAAAGAAGGCAAGAAAAAAACAACCCAATGCATGCAACACCTTTTGATAATAACCCCCTCCTGACTCAATATACCTGTTTTTCAACTTTTCCAAGCCTGCCCATCATGCTGGGGTCTTCAGGCAGCTCCCCCTCCGCTGGCCCTTTGGTCCGATCCTTGTCGGTCATGGAGGATCCTCTCCCAACGATCTGGTCAACTCTACCGGGATCAGAAAATCCCCCCGCCCCCGGAAAAGGACCTGGAGTCAGTTGGAGGCAGCAGGCGAGGAGGGCTCCGCTTGTCGCGCCTCCGTGGGACAAAGCAACAGCCTCTCGCCCAACTAACACTCCAAATTACTCACATACACGCAGTGGCACTGAAGTGTTAATTCAGATGCAGAATTCAGAGCAGTATTAGCAGAGTTTGAAATTATCCATTTCTGTTTATACAGATAAAACCTGGCACATTATGCACAGTAAATTTACCCACTGCAAACAATTTCTTTAACTGGCTTTCTTCCAAGTCAATTAACTTATTTGTACTGAGAAATTATGATTTTGGGGAAGATCAAGTTTTCTGTCTAGCATATGTCAAAGGGATTTTTTTCAGTCTTTGCAGCCATTTCCTCTCCTCAATGCAAATGTAAGTGTGTAATTCTCATGTCCATGAAAATGAGCCTCTTGCCCCAAGATCCAGACAAACAGGTGTAGTGCTAAGTGTTTTAGTGGAATAGCATCAAGGCTAAATTTAGTCGTAACTCACCAAACGTTACCAAATTGACTTCATCTCAATGCTACTGCAATTCACACCTGTATCATTAGACGTTTTCTATTAGCAGGGCTCTAAGCTGGTAACAGCAGAGGACACTCCTGCCAAATCAGCAGCTAAAGCTACCAGGCGTGTTCTTTGGCACTAACTTCTTTACACACGTTACATTTGCAACTCCTTGTTCCCAGTATAGAAACACCTGGGTTGATATACAGCTCCGTATGCAGAGGAAGGAGGAGGGCAGAGCCAGTCTGAAAGCTGGAAGGCAATTTTATTTGAGGCATCAAATCTAAATTTTCTAGAGAGTAAACACTGGAGCTTCTTGATCCCTCGAAAGTCAGGGGAGCAACTCAGTTTTGGAATAGCTTTTTAATGGCAGCCCAGTTTACAACCTAATTCTACGCCAGGCAAACTTTACTCTTGCATAATGCACCAAACGTAAGGGTGGCGGGGGAAAAGAAGGGTTAATTAATCTGACTGAAACCAAGTTGAGGTATCTGGAGCGGAAAACTCAAAATGCTTCTTACGCAGTTCTGCCGTGTGGGCCATGGGTCCATGCACCAGGAGGAGGAAAAGGAAGGAGCTGAACGCAGACAGACAGGGGAAAATGAACAAACAAAAACCAAGGAAAGGAATGAGACGTGAGGCTGTTTCCAACACAAGAGCCATCTGTTTTCTTTACATTTGACAGGGACTTAATACGTATGTTGGCTGTTGACATTAAGGGACAGATATCAGTTGGTACGGACCAGCGTGGCTCCCTTGGCTTATATTAGACCAACAGCAGTTTACGGCACCAGACGATCTGGCTCAGAGAGATTAAGTGGATGAGCACATCACACTAAAGACAGGAAATATAAGCCAACAATTATATTAGAGTTTATCTTTGATCCCAGAAGATACTTTGTTTGGGCAGGGATGCGACAGAATACCGTTCTGTTTAAAAAGTCATATCTGATCCTTTGCTTAGCAATATAAGCATAGGAATACAAGGAGCACCAAGTGCTAAAATTACAAGTGTGAGGAATATGCATGCCTTATTTCTCTCTTGTAATGGGAAAAGGAAATCATTGACACGTACAGGAACTCCCCACAAGGGATGCAATTACTGACATGACATACAGCACAAGAAATCCTATGACAATGTTGTTACCATGTAAGCAAAGAGGTATTAAATAGGATACCTCGGGCTACCTCGGTTTGGAATCACAAGTCAAGGCGTAGTACAGCCACTGAACGAACTCCTCTCCTGTATGCACAAGCAAGTAGACTAGTAAAACAATGAACATGCGTTTAAAGAGGCCCAAAGTCTAAATGCTACTGAATATTGTGGAAGGCCAAGAACCATCGGGGTGCTCTGTCCTCGTGTCCCATCTAGCACAGCACTAACACTGAAATGTGTCCACTAATGGAAATGAGATGTCCTTCAACAGCTGCTGAGCAGAGTGGGGAGGCAGAACAGACTGTAACACAGAGGAAAACTGAACATCGCCCTGCTACCGTGTATTGTAATAGAAAAAGATAGTCTTGTGCAACCCTATTTCTAATCTTGCGGAAATTGAGGAAGGACTTCTGCTCTCTTCCATGTCTTTAAAAGAAGAGCTATGCAGTAAGTGAACCTCACATGACCCACATGAAGCACAGGAGGCCAGCTGGCACTTCACAGATGGAGTGATCACTAGGATCATATAGAAGAGCGCTGACTTCTTCCATCACCTTCAGGCTGGACACAACTTGCCTGTAGACCTGCTGTGATTTAAAAGCAGGACTGAAGCCCTTCACAGAGCTCACCCACAAAGCATTCAGAAGCCCTCGCCCATATACCATTGAGACCAGAGCCCAGGAGAATTCCTGCTTGATTCGTTCCTTTCATGTCTATACTTTAACATAGTCCTGACACCTGAGGTGGTCATCTTCCACAGCTCTGAGAAGCCAGAGAGCCAGACCTCGCCTTGGAGGCAGGGTCCGCACCGAGGACGGTGTGGTGGGCAGCTGTGGGCCACTGACTTCAGTGCAGAGAGAGGAGAAGAACCAAGTCCTTCTCTCTTGACGGGAGAAACCAGGCTCGAGGTCTCCCACCCCTTTGCTTCCCATGGCAGAAGTTACAACCAGAGGAGAGTGCTCCTGCCCTCAGCAAAGCACAGAGATTTCACTTGTGCCTTATCTGATACAAGAGAAGAGAGGAATTTCCTCGTGAGCTCCCAACCACCTGTACCTAGCTGAGCAACGCAAAGAGCGGGAGGTCCTTTTAGCCATTACAAAAGAGTTTGAGGTTTTGTCCAAATTGGGCAGCAAAGCTCAAAAGATGAAGAAGAAAGAACATATTCCACCTTTGCAAGCAGAGGGGGATAGTGTATGTTCCTGCTGCGTGACAAAGGACCACGAATCTTCCGATATGCCAAACCCTACTTCTGCACCACATCCCGTGGGGAGCCTTGTGTCTTCCCAACGCTTATTTTGGCTGTGTCAAATACACATGTGCGGAGGGAAGAATTCAGCTGAGGCTTTGGAAGAGTCAGCCCCGTGTTTTTCCCTTCCGTGGCAGAAGAGGATTCAGAGATTTCTAACTCTGCATGACAAACTGTGCCATCTGCTGTCCTTGATAGGCTCTGCTGGATCTTAGTTTGGGAGGGAGAGAGAAAGGGGGGGTGCTCTTTAAAGTGAACTTTGATATCTTTCCTTCTTTCTAATGATACAAAAAAAATGTAAAGTCTTGCATCAGCCACAGTGCAGGTTTTCTCATGCTTCATTATGCTTCATGCTAACAGTGCATGCAAAGAGGTGTAATATGTCACCCTCGGGCCAGAAGCAGACATCAAAAGGTCAAACGGCTCAAATGAGATAAAAATGAAGTGTTTGGGAATATATATTCAATTCTTTTCTTTTTTTTCTTTATCTCTTATAATTTTTTGTACGCAATCCAGGCATTGAAGCCAAACCCCCTTCATCCATGTCACAGGACTGGCTACTTACCTCCTCATTTGGCAATAAAGTTTGCTCTAGACATATTTTGACCAGTATCTGTTGTCTAAAAATTACAGCTGAGGTTGCACCTATTCTATGTTAAGTCAGCTGATCAAGGGAATTTAATCCAAATTGTCTGTGTGTACAGCATGGAGCAAACACCTTCAGCCAAATCACAGCTGTGGACATCCCCTAGTATCCAGCCACCTTTGCTGGGAGCTACTTGCAGAAAACTTTTGGCTGAACTGAGCCCTTGTCACTAGAGCACCACAATGTGATCCACGGGGTCGAGATAGCTCATGGGACATCACTCGGTTTTGTTTCTCTGGGCAGCATTTGGCTAAAACAGGGATGTGTAGGCTCAAAAGGAGAGGCTGGTGAAGCCCATGGGGACCCCACGGCACATGTCCCCATGGCATGGACCCACGCGGTGCTGAGATGATGAAAGCCATGACAGCAGCAGAGCCTGACCCAGAGTTTTTGGATTTGGGCTTGGGGCTGCTCAGAGCTCTGATTCCCACCCATTGGGCACCTCGAGCACCCCACAAGTCCCACCGGTGTCCGTGGGAGGATGCAGCTGCCGAAAATTAAGCACAGCATAAGCCTTTTAATGGATGGGAACAGAGGTTTCAGCAGCCTTCTGTACTCTGCTGCTTTCTGGAGCCTCTCAGCCACAGCTCAATAAAGAAGAAATGAGAAAATTCATTAAAAAGGGAGCAATTCCTAAAAAAAGGCTTAATGTCCAGGACCCTAGTGGGCATGTGTGAACAGATTTTTAATCTGGCCATCAGTATTGGAAACTGTAAAAACAGGGTGGGGGAAGTCATTAACATTAAGCTGATATGGCAACAGACTTGGACCGAATAAAATAAATATCCCAGTTCGAGGCCTCCTCCCCTAGTATCCATCGATCACCTTTTCTGTGTGCAAGGCACAAGCTTTCACGTGAAAATCTTGCCTCTAGTGAAGGCTTGTGGCACACCTAATCTTATAGGTTAAATACAACAAAATCCACTTGAATATGTATTTTTATCTTAAAATCAAAATGTTTTTGCAGATAAGAAAGTTATTTCATTTTTAAAGACTAGTTTTGGGCCTCATCATTTGGCAGGGAGCAGATATGGGCAAAATGCTTTTCTGAGAGCATCTTTTTTCCAAGCATGAAGCTTGGGGCTTCTGGAAAATTATCTTATTTTTTTAATCTTTGAGCTAGCTGAGTGGGAAAAGGTAAGCTTTCAATATTCCTTTTACTCACATTCCTCTAGTGAAGATTACTCAGAGCAGCTTAAATAAAAATCAAGAGATTTGTCACGTATTAGCTCTTAGGGAGGGCAAGTATATTTAGAAAAAAACCTTGAGGCTAAGCTTGCTGCATTTAAAAATCACCTACGATTTGTGCATGGAAAATTACTTTCTGGCAAATATTTATACTAGTCTTGGGTTCCAGTGGTCTCAATACAGGGTGAAAATACAGCTCAGCTCATGGCCCTGCTGACCAGACCTCAGAATGCCCTAAAATGGGAACTTCAGTGAGAATATGTTCCTCGTGGCATCAGTTTCAGGTACGATTTTGCCTAAGGAGAGAACTCAATAAGGGCAATGAGAAAAATCTCGCTGTGTGACTGAGGGCTGGGTTTGCCTCCTGCTCTTCTTTTTGCTTGCAAAATCAGGATCTTTTCTTTTTTTTTACTATGAGTCCCGTGGTTGTAATATTTTAACACAATTTTTTTCCTCCGTGGTCGGTAGAGTTGCATCAGCAAGAAAAAAAGACCACTGTGTTCATTGGATATGAAACACTTCATTCTTACTTTGCCCACTGAAGTAAACTCATTTCATAGTACAAAGAGCTGCAGAGGCTCCTTTGCTTGTGTGTGGAGTGTTTCATCTTTTAGAAAGTAGATCGTTCAGTTTATCATGGTTTTGTGGGTAAATATTCCACCTTTTACATCTGAAGATAGCCTGACACAATATGAGATTTTTAAAAGATATAATTTTGCTTTCTAACACCTAGAAGAAGACTGAAAATAGAAAATATGCTAGCTGAAGAAACTGATGGTTACTGATGACTGCATGAATGTCCTTTTTTCCCCCCCCTTTGGCTTGCCTAGTATGAAAGCTCATTACTGAAAGTAAATCAGAGCATACCCAGAGTAGCAAGGCCTTCTGAGTCATGATTTAGCAAGCTGCACTGCTAAGTGATAAATGCCGTCATATAACTGGCATGAAAGGGGTTTGACATTAAGCAAATGAAAAATCCAGAGAAAGCGGCATTTTGGTGAATCCTAACCTAGGCGAGTATTGGGGAGATTCTTTGGAAGAATACATGGGTCCTTTGGTTGGATACTTCTTATGCCGGGGAGTTGAAGGGGGTGGGGGACCCACAATCATATCTATCCTGGCAAAGTAAATAAGAAAAAAGACACCAGCAAAATGCATAATGAAGCAACACGTAGAGAAAAGTTGGTCAGAAAAGTTGCAGAAAGAAACAACTGAAATACAGAACGACAGAGAGAGAAAGAGAGAGAATTTGAAAATATATTCCGCTGGAAACAGAAGGCTCCCTCCTACTACCTGGTTGTCGGTGAAAGCCAGAGTCTCACCCACCCCGGGGTAAGATTTGGAGATTTAGGCACCACTGAAACATTGTTAGGAGATCCCCCCGCCCCAGATATAATAGGCAACATGCTTTACCCTCTGGAATATATTTGCATATGTGTAGCAATATCCCATTGAGGCGGTTGGATATGAAACAACATATATTCATTCTCCTTTCAGTTCCAGTGCTAGATAACACATCCTCAGCTAGTTCAGAAAAGCATGAGCTGTTGGGAGTCAGCGAGATACGCTGCGGGATTGTATAACTCAATGAATGGGAGACATCCATGGTTGGCAAGGTGTCAGGATGAGACACAAGACAGTGTGAACACAACAGTGAAAAGAGCACATTACAGACACAGTGACAGAGGCATTAATGATTAAAGAGGAAAGTGCATGTAGACACCCCAGAAATTTCCTCGAATGCAGCTTTAATCCACCAAAGCTCTGGCTACAGGAGGTCACAGCCAACCCTGCTGAGCTGAGCTGGCAGGGAGAACAAAGTGCTTTGATTGCTGAAGGAAAGGGAAATAAAAATATCTGTTCTCCAAGGTGCCCCGTGACAACCTCCCTGGGCTCCACCATACGGGTGCACCATACTTCTAGCACCAGTTGGTCATGCCCCAACGTCGGCCACGGCCACCCCAGGCCCACACCTCGTCTACAGCTGGTGCCCCTTCCAGTTGTACTGGGCAGGTGACCAGCCATGGGACCTCTTGGCGCCCATCTAGCTATGATGATGAGTGCTTTGAAGGATGACCCCAAGGGGGTCTGCGCCCATCACCATCACTGGTCTCCTGCTCAGTGGGGATAGTTGAAAGCAGTGAAGCTGCCTGGTAGCCCTGGATCCCAAATCCAGGTACTTCACGCTTTTGAAGTGGCTCCTGGTCTTCCTGACTTCCCTGCAATGGGGTGGATGGCAGCCCTAGCCTAGTCCAGCCTCAGCAACCTCAGCCTCGCAGTCCCATAGGAACAGCTAAGAGGAGAATTCAGTTTGGTCTTTGAAAGCTGCAACTCCTTACCCCAACTACCCCAAAAAACCCCAGCTAACCAAACTACTTTGTCTTTGCAGCACATCACCTTGAAGGATTGGCAATGGGAGACCTGGGTGGACGGTGAGGCAATCTGCCACACCAGCTCGGGGTGTTGAAAACTCAGGTGTCCCATCTGGAGCCAGTGGAGATGACAACCCCAATGGCTCATGACCCACTGCAGAGGCAGCCCGGAGGCCTCTCGTTTCAGGTTCTTAAAGTTAGGAAATATCAATCCCCTCCTCCTTCTCTTCCCTCTCCAGATTCAGCTACACGTCTTGGATCTATACTCATTGAATTCATACTGAACAGGGGTGAGAGGCTCAAAGAGAGGAAGTTCTCCAGGATATTTTAGTCTCCATCGCAAGGGAGAATTTACCTTCTGGCTGCATATCTGGAAAAGCACAGTGTGCAGCAACGCTGAGAAAGTTACCACTGCTGCTTGAACATCAAAAATAGCAGAGTTGAAATGGTCTCTGAGAGATTAATGGCAGAAGAGAGATTCCTCTTTTTCCTAGGACAATTTTCCTATTCCATTCCTGGGGTTCATATTAGCTGTTTGCATATGCAAACACATTTTTTTTTGCACATTTGCTGACTCTACCAGGGACCTAGATGGGTTTGAAATGAAAGGAAAAATTCCCCAATGGCTTCCAGAGGAAGCTGGGCTGCCACAGCCATCAAGAGAAATACTTTCATTCTCCAAGTGTAAACGTAAATGGTATATTATTTTGACTGGAAATAGCCTATGGCCAATCCCTGCCTCTGTTCTGGGTGTCCTTCGAGCTCAGCAGAACTGGGGCTACTTCTGCTGAGCCGACACAGCCGGGGGGTGTTGGGGGTTTGGGGTCTCATTTTCAACGTGGGACATCAGGGCTCAGGGAGGAATGGTCAGACAAAAAGGTTTAGCTGAGATCCTCTGTTCAGGGGACCAAATTCATCTGGGTTTTTTTTCCGGAGAAAATTAAATTTTAAATGCCCTTCTCAGTTCCATTTGTCCCTTTTTCACATTTCTTCCCCTATTAAAAATAACTCCTCTCCTCCTAAAATTTGAGCACAGAAGCTGAAACGCAGCTTAGCTAAACCACACCTGTGGCGGTGGGCTTGGATTAGAAATCCCCATCTGCATGTATTTTCAGCAGATTGTGCCATCCGAGGAGGGATTCCTCCTAAAACAGCTTAGCATCCTAACTGCTTCCCTGCTACCCCCTCTGCCCGTAGCAGCAGGGTCACAACCAGCACACCAGATTTGATTTCGTATCACTCCCAGAAAGGTACCAAATTAGCCACTTTAGCCTTAAGACTGGGGCACCAAACCTTTGCGATCCTGCCAGGAGGAGCAGAGATACACACCTGCCTTACCTATGGGATATACTATAATGACAGAAACTCCCAAAGCAAAGGAGGAGGATGAGCCGTGATTTTTGTGTGTATGTCCTGGGGTGGGCGCTAAGGCAGTTTTAGTGGCACACCACCACCGTTTGCAGTCCCTGTCCTGCTCATCCCTGTGGGTTCCAGCCACAAGCATTGATGTTTTCCTTGAGGCTTTCTGTTAGGAAGAAAAAGAATAAGCTGTAGCTGCAAAGGAAAGTGTCTCTCTCCTGGCAATACCTCCGCAATGAAGAAAAAAGTGAAAAAAATAAAGCAAAGAGAGGGGTCTCTTGCCTGGCCTGAAGGTTTTTAATCCGGGAGAGCATATCCAGGTGACCGGCTGAATACTGCTCGATGACATCCATCACGTCGTAAGGTCGAAGACTCTCCTTAAACTTGCGCTTGGAGACGAGAAATCTCATAATGCTGCAGGAGATGGAGAGGAAAGGCAAAATATAGTTCCTAGGCTGCAGCCTGACCTGCTTAGTGGCAGATAAAAAACACCGCAGGGAGCTGCTTTGGAAGGAAAATGGAATAAATCCCAAGCCTGTGGGTTTGGGAGAGGATGTGGCAATAGGAGAGGGGAAGGATATTGGGGGGGCTCGTGGCTGAAGCTCTGCCTGTGACGGGGTCCCCGATGCCCCTTGGACTATCAACTGCGCGAGTGTCCTCTCTCCACCGCTTTTATAACTGTCAGCATTAAATCTCAAAGCTGGTGAAAATAATCATTTGGATGCATCCCTGCAGGGGATTTTCCTGTTTCTCTGTTTATTCCTTCCCTCAGCAAAAATTGCACTTTCTGGCAGCATTTTCTGTAAAGGAGGGCAGGCCACCCAGGGGAAAAACAGTCTGCAGCACAGACATTTCAGCATTTGCCACCTCTGCTTAGACTTTAAATTTCTTTTCTTTCCCCTATTACTTATTTTTCCGAAACGCTTCCCCCTTCTCCCTCTCTTACCACACTGCCCTGATGCTGACTTTCAGTCCTGGCGTCAAATCTTCGGTCACAAACTCGCAGTTGCAGCTTTTGTTCTCATCGGGAATGTCTTCTCCGGGGAGGCTTGCTTCTGGGTTTGGGAGAGGGAGGGATAAAGACAACGTGTTACTATTTCCCATGCTGGTGCTGCACAAGGAAAGACGAGTCGGATTGCAAACAGCAACCCCGGGGGAAGCACCGGAGATAGTTTTGCTGAGTATCCAAATGAGAACATTTCCCAAGACGCGTTAAGGTGACATCCAGCAATGACAACTGCCGCTCTCATCCCTCTCTAGAGGCCTGACTCTCCCTCCTTTCCCCGTCCCTATATACATAAATATAGACGTTATCATGGGTGTCAGCAGGGGTTTTCTTATCTCTTATTATACCCCAAGCTAAAGGACTGGCAGGGGAAGGAGACCTACGTAAGCACCCTGGCTGGCAGCTCTGCCCTTCTTAGGTGGGGAGGGAGAGGACGTCGGGGCCAGCTGGGGATTTGGGGTCCGGCACGGAGCCCCCAAGCCCCCCTCACCTTCTGAGTTTTGCCGCGAGGCTGCTCCCTTGATGCGGAAAGCTTGCCGGGCTCGGCTGCGGTCTCCGAAGCTCCAGCTCTTGGGCACTTTGCTCGGGCTGTCCTCGATGCTCTGGTCAGCGCTGGGGGACCTCCTGATGCCCTGAGCCTGTGGAGAGCCTTTCCCTTTGGTGCCAGCACCGCGGGGACTGGAGAAGACACGATCTTTCAAACTGACCTTCTGACTGTTCAGAGAAACACGTTGAAACAAAGACAAAAAGGAGACAGCAGGAGGAGTCATTCTGGAAACCACGCAGTCCTTCCCCACCAGCCATTAGAAACCAAGAGCACTTCCAAGCAGCAGTGAGATGTAGTTTTGCTGTTGGGTTGTTTTGGTTTTTTTAAATATATGTATTTATTTTCTTTCTTTTTTTTTTTTTTTGGTTAAAGAAAGCATTGTAGAAATGTTTCCGCCATAATGAGTGAAATGGGAATGATTATTAAGAGAGAGAAAGTAATGAGGACTTAAACAGAAGCCCCTCGTGGGATGCCAGGGCTGGCGGGACAGAATGACGTTAAACAATGAGGTTATGATTCCTTAAATCACTGATCAGCTCCAATCACGAGCGAGGAAGCTTTTCTTTCACAACTGCCTTCCAAAACCCTACACCTAATAAAAAAAAATACCAATAAAAAAGCACCTTTATCTTAAACTTTTAACTTGCTTGGAAACACTTCATTTCTGGTGTTCAGACCTGTCCTTTCCCTTTCTTCAGCTCCTGTATTCCTCCCTCTTAAAACATGATCTGCCCCTTTTATATATTCCAAAGAGTTCCTCTTTTTCCAGTCTTATATTTAAAGACTTAAATATGAACACTTAAATGTGCAATTCCTTTGTATCCTATAAAGATTCAATCTAAAAACTAGCTAACATCTATCTGCAGGTCTGCTACAGGTCTCATAAACATGCAAAGCAAAATTTTACAACTTTAGGATATGGCATTTTATTGCTGTTTTCCTATTAGAATCCCATTGCTTTAAAACCTTGTAATTATGGTTTGAAAAGAAGATCTCTCCAGACACAGAGATGATCTCACTGAGAAATAGTCTGCTGACCACCCAGCTCTAACTATTTTCCAAAATCTGAAATTTGTAAATGAAAACTTTCACCCAAATGAAGATGATGAATTCCCACATGAAAATTGCAAAATAAAAAGATTTTGTGAAACTTTATGAAAGAGCAAACTTTATAGAGACAGCACTGGGGAAACCAAACTGCAAATAGTTTTGGATAATTTTCTGAACAGCAATTGATTATTAAAATAGACTAATAGAAGTAAGACAACCAGTGCAAGGCACTTGCACGTACAGCCAATATTTGATGTATAAGTAAATCAAAACTCAGTAAAAATGCAGATTTAAATCCCAATACTCTGTACCATTGCAGTAGCCATTTATCTTTTTGCTGCAAATGCTCTGACTCAATTTGCAGGAGGAACATTGCAGGAATTTTGATATCCACATCAGATTTCCAGGTCACCAACCAAAGACCTGGTTTTTTCTGTCTCTCAGCAACACCACCTTAAAACTCAGAGCCAAACAGTCCTCCTTTGCCTTCAAAACTGGCACGGGGTTTCTTCAATCAGAACTTAACTGCTGCTATTTGAAGCAAAGCAAAATGCAGCTCCCTTTTCCCCAGCCGTATCAGCTGTACCGTGCTGACGGGAACAGACATTCGTTTTTGTCAGTAAAGGAAGAAGACGTGACTCGAAGACACACAGGGCGCAGATTTGTTGAGTAAGAAGGTGCTATTTTTAAGAAGTCACTTTACATTGCGAGACATTGAACATTTACAGGGAAAGAAAGGTGCTTAGGCAGCATTTTCCAGAGTTGCACAGCGTGATCCCGGGGAGGCACTGCTGCCCTGCTGCAGCATCTCCTGGGCTGCAGGGCAGGGTTATCTGCGGCCATTGGAAGATACATTTGAAAGAAAATAAAATTTGTTCACGCCTAAGTTAGAAAAGGCAGAATTATTCCAATTAATGATGCGGTTTTAATTCAGATAAGTACTGGAGATCTCATTTCCAGTGTGCTGCCCACCTGCAGGGCCTGTCTGAAAGCCGTGGGACCAACAGATGTTCAGCGTAGCTGAAAATCAGACCAGAGGTACAAATCCACACAGGAATCTAGGAACAAGCATGTGCCTAAATACCTTTCTGGATGTAAGCCTTAGTCACTAATGCTACCAAAATCATCGTACATAATGAGCCAAAGGTTTAAAAGCAATTCTCATTCTGTGTTTCTTGGATTAGAAACCAGATTGAAATTTTATTTGTCATTTGATCCTCAATAGGCCAATTGGATTTTTTTTTTTCTTTATTTTAGTTGATTTTACAGAATAATATTCCTGGAATCTACTGCATTTCAGTAGTACTAATACTTTGAACTACCTGGTCTTTTTTAAAAATAAGTTTTATAAAAATGAATCAGCAACACACCAATATTCAGAATTCAAAGCCATGTCTTTGTGCCTCATCCTCTGCTGAGTTGCTCCCGTCTCTGATCTCAGCATAAAAGCAGTTGCCTATCACTGAGTAGGCAGGGCCTCTTCTTTGGGGCCCCTTTTCCATTCCCACAATAAATGTGCTGCAAATGTTTGCAAGAATCACAAAAGGCAAAAAACAAAGCGTTGAACTCAGTAAGGAATGTGAGCGAGGAGTTTCAAGCCTGATAGCATGAGGTGCAACGCTTTTACACGTTAAAAAATCTCATAGAAATCTGATGAACAATTAAGATCGGGGTGGGTTTTGTTCCCGAGTAGTCACTGCTCAGAAAAAAACCCAACACCTGATGTAATTTCTTTGTTTTAACATAGACGACATGAGACAACATGAACAATTAATTGAATTTGTCCCTCTGCCATGCAATTCTCTCATTGGAAATGACACCTGGAATCACACGCAAGTACAATCCCTGCAGAGGAGAATGCTGTTGGGGTCTGCAGGAGCTGGTAGGAAAGAGTCCAAAAGAAATATAGACATATAGAGACATATATGTTGTCAGCTAATCCAAGATCATGTTCTCATTCAACCAGAAAGTCATGCAGAGTGATGCAGAGTGTCTCGGAGAAATGGTATTTAGATGTCGCTCAAGTAGATGGTAAATGAGCCTCAGTTCAGCGGAAGGTGTCTGTGTCAGTGACGTGAAAATGAGGAAAGCAGTAATCCAGCCACACACGACAACATGAACTGAAGCTTGCAATCGTGAGAGCTAAGAGCGGTGTGAGCACGGGGCAGGCATCCTGCTCGTGCCAGGGGAAGGGAAGGGAAAGAAAACTGTGGCTTTGCAACTGGAGACATAGATTATGGGAAGCCGTAACAGCGTAATAGGGCATGCATTAGTTCCTAGGTCTTCATAGCCACTTTCAGTTGGCATCTATTAAAGACATATTCGATAACTAAACCATTATGTTTCCAGGCTGACTTTGGGGAAGCTTTACAAAACTTTCAGCTTTTTACTTGGATTTAACAAAGGATAGAACCCGAGTTGATTTTTCTCTGCTGCCAGTCAAAAAATGAGAGCCCATGCTGGAAGAACACATAAGGACCAGTGCACGGTCCCACAGCTGACAGAAAGATGCTCACTGCTTTAGTGGGCTTTGTATTTAGATTCATTTAGGTTGAACAGCCCAGCGCTCAGCAGCAAAATGCACGAGAACTAGCCTTCAAATGAGCTGCCATCAGCCTCCTTAGGATGCTGGGGGTCTGAGCTCTTGTTTGAAATCCTCTTGTCTGGGGTTCATTCCACAGTCCTCTATAGTATTAAACCAGTACTTTTTAAAAATGAGGACTCATTACGTTAGCAGTGATTTTGGATCAATAAAAAGTACCACTCGTAACGTTTTGTCATTGATTTTAAACCACGCTCGAGCAGTTGTTTCATTTTCTCCTTTCATTTTGTAGGCAGCAAATGTTAGCCACACTGAGCTGGACTAGGATGGACTCAGATCCATCTCTGCATATGAACTCAACCAGTAACAGCATTCATTCTTCCGAGAAGCTATGGCCAGGAGAATGAGGTTATCTCCTGTTGGGAAATGAGGCTGTTGCCTAATCCAGAGTTTGTGCTGAGCTCATGGCATATGAGAACAGCTTGTTAAAACCAAGCAGGAGTGCCAGGAGTGAATGACAGCCTTTGTGGCTATCACTGGGCTCCAGTCTGGTCGCAGGGGTGACTAAGAGGCAGAAACCAATTACTGGACACATGAAGGAAAGGAAAATACATCTGTGTGTGCAAAACTTGCCATAACTAGAGCAGAAATCAAGAGAGGACCAGGCTCGAGCCTGGTTTGCCTCCAGTGATTTCAGAAAAGCCATTGAAAAGGTGAATTCAGCCCAGAGAATGGAGTTTCTAGAAGCAGAGCAACCCCTGGCCATAAGAAAAACAAAAGGTCAGCCAATGATCAATGTCATGGCGAGTAATCCCTCTTCTCTTCCCCATCCACAACCACGGTGTTAGACTGGGGTTGAAGGGAGTCAACTGAACTCATAATGGGGAAGACCAGAGTTGCACCATCCCCTCAGCCACCACGTAAGCCTGGCTGAGCACAGGGCCTCGGGTGAGAGAAGGGACACTGGAACCAGACCCGTGTCTTTAACCTTGGCCTTTGGTATTTTGCAGCATTGCTGTTACAATCGCCCCCCTCCTCCTAGCCCACAGCCTTTTTTTCCCCAAACTGATGCTGAGCACTGTCAAACACCACATCAGACATATCCTGCACCTTCTCGCAACCTTTTGCTACCTGCCAGCTCAGCTCTTTTGCATTTCAGGAGCAAAGCAAAACAGCTAGATCGCATCTTTGGAGCTGGCTGATTATTCCTAAACAAGACTTTAAGAAACATGCTACACCCAGACCCACAGGCCAGTCAAGGGCTCTGCAAACACCTTTCCTTCACTGGTCTGTGTGCCATTTCTTCAGGTCTCTGTGGTGCCTTCCCTCTCTCTGAGTAGATGCCAAGAAGTCTTTTACAAAGCAGAATATGATAGACCTGATAATCTGGCTTGGTATAGTTACATTACTGTCTAAAAACGCATGCATTATTGCATTTATTGACTAGAGATCTTTGTTTAATACATTAAGAAACCACGGCTTCTAAGGAGTTTTCTATTAATTTACCTACATTGAGTTTCCCGTGATTGCCTCATCGTTTACTGTTACTTTGTTATATGCTCAGCCTTAGATGCATCAAAGTGCTGGCATCTGCCCCTAAGAGCTTGTGCAGTGGGGGATTGCAGGCAGGTAGCCCAAGGGTCCAGGAAAACAAGACATTGGACTTATTTTTATGTCCCTTCACGGTTAACCTATAGTTTTATTAAAGCACAGCGTAAACCACTACATACAGGATGGATGCAGGTAACACAGCTCTTGTAGCTACTCCAAAGTTCAAGACTCCTTTTTGACTGGAAGAACCACAGTCTGTAATCCTCCTTCTCAGGGTTTCCAATGGATTAAGAAGATCTTGAGACAATAATTTGTTTCATCCTCCCTTTCCCTTGCAGAACTCAAGATGGGGGAGATGAAATGAGGACCACAGCAGGAAGGAGTTCAGTAGAAAATAGAAAACATTATACTGGCTTTACCAATTAAAAATTCATGCCTAGGAAGACATGCAAGGAAGACGTTAAGATCAGAGTGGCTGATTTTCCAGAAAACAGAACTGGACATGGACAGGTGAGAGGACAGCACTACGAATATCACTGCTTGTTCTAATCTCTGCCCAAACCAACCTCAACATTAAGCAATTGAAAGGAGCTTTTCTCTGGGGAGAAGTCCCTGCTTGCACTACGCCTCTGCCTCCACGGATAAAACCACCTCACCTGGAAAATGGAAACACTACAGAAGTCATGACAACTTTCTTCAGCTAGGCTATCGACCAAATCTTTGCCATTTGGAAATGTGTTGAAATGCTACCTGCGCAACTGATGATCACCCAATAGTTAAAGCAGTCCTTTCGAGGATAATCTTCAAGGAAGGCCACAGTACCGTCAAAACACATAGCAGGAGGCTAACTCAAAGATTCAGGCTATTTCTCCAGGTACAAGGGATTTCCCACCATGGAGAACTGCTTATTATGAAACCTAGATCATGCCCCCTTCCTCTTTGGTACCCATTCAGAGATGGGATTTACCACGCTACTGCTGCGCTTCTGGTACACGCAAGTCTCAGGCATGAGTCCTAGCCTCTAGACTGACAGATAATAAAAATAGCCAGCAGGGAAAAAAAATAGCAAGAAAAGAAAAGATACAAGTTGGAACAATTAATGGAGAAAATCAGAGATACATATACTTTTATACTTTTAAAACTGTAGTTTGTTGGCTTTCTGAGGGAGACAGCGACTGGTGATTTTGAGAATTAAAACGGACTCCAAAAAAGAGCATGCAAAAATCCAATTTCACAAACATGCGGCATCACTCAGTGCCCTGCCACTCCTGGGCTTTCCACCTGCCTGGCTGCGGGGGGAAGAGCTGATGGGGTTCACCTGCCAGCATTCACAGCATGCAAACTCTGGGCATTGGTAATTCAAGAAGGTGCACGTTTGCTGCTGAGAAGCAGTGTCTGGGGCGGGGGAAGAGACTCTTCCAGTGCAGGCATGGGAGCAGACATATTTATGCAGAAGTAAAATAAGATATATGTATCTGTGTACCCTTATGGCCATCAGATGGGCGCGCTAAGGGATGCTCACTGGGAATTCTCTGAAGCCGCCTAACAATTGTCAGCTTGATGAAAAAGATGAAAACACTGCTCGTACGAATCCCTCTGCTCTAGCTATCTGTTCCCCACGGGATCTAGAAACAGAACCATTCACAATGCCAATGTCAACGCTACGGGGAACCCGTATCCCCTACGTCTGGTGGGACAGGCTGAGATTAGTCCTTCTCTAGCTGCGTAGTAGAGGTGCTAGATAGGCAAGCCGTGGCTTCCAAAGGCCACCAGACTAGGAAAGGTCAATTTGTAGTGTTGAGAGAGCCAAAGAAACGGTGATTGAGCAGAGGTAGGAGGCTGGTATTTCTCGTGCTACTAACTCGATATCGCTGTACAGTGCAATTCAATTTGCAAGTGTTCCCTGGACCTTGAGGAGGGATGGAGCAATAGGGAGGAAGGGGTCGTTTTTTAAAAAAAATTTGGTGGTTTTTTTAAATTTTCCATCATTTGTTAAACTTCAGTTCCTGGCCTCCTTCATTGCTGAGCAGACACTGGCTTGCTAGCCCAGGCCAAATTCCCCATCCTTGTCTCCTTGATTCACGTGTTCCGCACCATTAGCAGACAAGGAAACCTCTAATTTCTGAGCGGGCAATGGGGAGGCTCTTTCACCTTCTTTTACTCATCTAGTACCTCTATTAAGCAGAGAAGTGATCAGAACGGGTGGTAGCAGGGTAGAGGGAGAATGAGCCGTGCAGCTTTTGATTAGTTTCGTGCGACGCATTTCCCGTGGTACCTAGAGTTTCCTGAGCAGCATCCGCATAGTGACTCTCTGCACGGTTTGCTTTTACTGGAAATGAGGGGAGAGTAAAAATTAGACCTGGAAGCAAATGCCAGACAGGAAACTTTTGATTACTGACTCTAGGTTTAAAAGACAGGTGTTTTGAGGGCCGGGTTCATGACAGGATTTTTCTGTTTGAGTGTTAAGTGAAAAAAAAATTAAAAATCAAGAGGGTTTCTGAAATTTGTCTCACTGTGGTCAATAAATGTCATTATTAGACATATTAATAATGTCATTATTAGACATTATAATGACAAATTCTGCATTGAATTGGTGGCGTCAGTTCATCTACGATTGACTGAGTCCTGCAGGAAGACTTTTTTCATCTGCATTGGAAACACAAAGTACCCTCTTCTTCCTCCAAACAGACAAAAAAGATTATTTTTTTAATTCTCTAAGCCATGGAGAGCCAAAACTTTAACTTGTTTTGTCCAACAACATCCAAAAGGTTCAAATTTCTCCTTTTTCTTTCCAAAAAAAAAAAACCCTCACAAAGAGAGCTAGTTGATCTGTGAATTATTTGCACTTGTCGTACAGGAAAGAGCATTATATTAAGCCTGGCATTTAAAAAAATACAAATAGATAAAAACAGGGTGTGGTGCACTCCGTTATGGGAAGGGATTTGAACATCTGTGTTCACGCATCTGTTTTTCGTAACGCTTTTTAGACGGGCCCTACCACTTCTGGGAAGTTACTAGCTTTGCTGAGGCACCACCACAGCTCCCGGGAGCCCATCCCAAATCACTGCTCAGGCATTGCCCTGCCAGGAGATCGCCACCACGACCAGGGTTCTCCACGCCATGGAGCAGCCCTCTACCTGCGGAAGGGTAATGACGTGGTCCCCATCACCCCACCTGGTCACCAAGCGGGCATCACTTGCTGAGTTCACGGACAGACTGAAAAGGCCCGAAGGGCATAAACCCCCAATCTCGTTTTGCGCTTGAACTCAGCAATCGGAGGAGCTCACAGGCACACACAGAAGGAATTTGCAGGAATTCATTCTGCTTCGCGGCATCCCGTGCAAGCTCAGCCCACACCACTCTCTGCGTCCTGGGGACTCCTTAGGTACCCGCAATGGGACCCCGCACCCCAGGGAGCCCCGGGGACCGGTGGTGCTACCGGTGGGGCTGTTCTGGAGCTGGGGTCTGAGCATCGCGGCATGGGAGTGGGATATTCAGCATGCAGAGCCTCAGGGAGACACGTGGGTTACTCTCCTCTTAGTCTCCTCTGCAGTCCCTATGGAAAGATGCAGTCCCTTCCGTGCAAATAATCCGCTCCCCTAAAGGCAACTGATTATTTCCAGATTACTATCAGTCCCAGCATGAGTCTCTGACACCAGTTTAATCGGTTAGAAGGTCAAACGCCAACCAAGGCTAACGTGGCCCATGGGGCTCCTGTGATTGACACCAGTTCCCACGGGCAGTAGCGGTTAGTGACACCTCAGACACCCTAGGCTGGATGAGCAGGGGCCCACTGAGTCAACCAAAGGCATCCTCCAGTGCGTACAACAGCCTTAATCACACCCCTGAACAGAGATATTAACGTTGTGTGTATCTCAGACAGACATATACATACATGGATATATAGAAAGATACACGCACAGATATACATACACATTACAAGGCGGCCCAGTCCAGCATTCACTCAATATAATGGCCAAGGTCTTGCTGAGTTCATTAGGGTCAAGAACAAATCACAGCTGAGGACAACCTTCCAAAGGGGTTCCTCTCATCACCTACAGGACTGAACTCATGCTGGACAAAGTAATCTGAGTTTTAGTTTCCCAGTTCCCTGGAATCCTTCTGTTTCTTTTTTCTCTGATATTAATGTATCATTATGATCATTTGGTTCATTAATTTTTAGCTTTTCACCCAATCGTATTTTGAAAAATACAAGAGGAAGAAATGTGGTCACGGATGCCTTCAGATGTTTATCAAACCATCTGTTAAAGAGCATCTGAAGCACACATTTCATATCGGAGCCTCGTAGTCCTGGCTAACCATATGTTTGTCTTTTTGACATTACAATCAGAAGACAAAATAAACAGAGACGAGATGCCACAGTGAATTTCCAGCTTGATTAACATGGGAGTAATCAAACCCCGTTACCGCTCTGATTTGCTGGCTTTCTGCAGCGGGAGGGGTGAGAAAAGCCCCACCACAGAGCAGCCCTCCTTCCCTGGGGTTATGAGGCAGAGAGGACTCATATTTGGACCCTGCACGAAAACTGCGCGGTTTTGGAGACGTGATGGGCACTAACGGCTCCTGCAGCAGCAGCCAGCCCGGGGAAGGGCAAGGGAACACTTCTCCCGGCCGAGGCAGATGGGAAGGGTGGGCACAGAACCCAAAGCGACGGGCGACAGAGGAGGCTCAGTAAGCGGTTTTTTTAAAAAGGGAGGAAAATAAAAAAGGGGGAAAAAGCAGCATGTAGAAAAAGGCCAGCATCTTTTCTGCTCATCACAGCCTGGGCTCCACGTCACCGGGGAGGGGCGAGCTCCTGTCACCCCGAGCAGGTCAGCACAGAGCTCTCCCGGCACTCGGTCATAGGCAGAAGCAGACAAGCTCGCGGTGGAAAACAAAACGGAAACGATAGAGAAAGGACGTTCACCTGTCTCTCAGATCGGCCGTCCCGTTTTACGCCAAGACCAAATCTAAAGCCACCCGAATAAGTCCAGGTGACCCCGAGCCTCCGCCACGCTAACCCCATCGCCTCCCCACATCCCCCCCACCCCGGGCAGCAGCTCTCCGAGAGCTGTCTGGGCAGAAATCGGGACGGTTACAGCAGCACCGGAGTCAGAGGGCAGCATCGCTGCCCGTGCATGGTGCAAAGACCCCGAGAGCTGCCCCGAGCGCTGGCGGGGCGTTTGGGATGCTCCCCGACTTTGCGAGGCAATGCTTGCCTTGCATGGCACGGTCCCACGAGCCGTGCCAGCGTCCCTTCTCTAACTTAAAATATATGAAGATGCAAAATAGCGAAAAAGCTGTCTCTGTTCTGTTCGCTGTAAGGACTTTGTGGTGTATCAGTTATGGAAAGAGGGATATAGGAAATCAGCCACTCCCTACGCATAACTACAGACATACGGGAGGAAGATCCAGCTATCTCCGGATGAGAGGCTGTATGTTTCCTTACATCGATGGAAATGGAAAGTGGCAAATCCTTTACCAGCTGAAGCAAAAAAAGTGTGGTGCTGGGGTCTGCTATGAGAGAAGATTCATCCCGAGGAGTTTCCTAAGTGAAACAGTCACCAGCGACAGACCACGGCTGGATGATTAACTGTCGGGTGGGCTGAGAAACAGGATGAGTTTTCTTTTCTAAGGGCAGGATGACACACTGAGCATCACTGAGAGGTTGTTGGAAATTAAAGTGGGTGGAAGATTTGGGATGTGAATGTAAAAGATCCAGAAACTTTTATTTGGAAAAACAGGTGATGTGGGGCCCCCTAAATACAGGGACCACTGTGTGAAATTCCTTCCTGAGGTCTGAGACATTATCAGACCGAAAAGGGCAGAGGGAGCAGGTAGAATTGATATTGCCCTAACAAAACACAGAAGGAAAGAGCTTTGGTTCTGCTGTGGCAGCTGAACTGAACAACATGGCAAGTACTCTAATGCCATGTACACGGCAGCTGCAGACCCTCAGCTTAAGCACTCCTGGGTTCAGGTTTGGCATCTCACAACAGAAGGCAACAAAACCCACCAGTGTCACAAGAGACAGTTACACTGCAGGAGCAGGAAAGCAGAATTTGGAAATTACCCTGATGAAGAAGCTATATATAGTAAAAAATACTCTGAAAAATACTTCTTTCTGTGACATAAGATTAAGAAAGCGATGTAGAAAATGAACAGGGAAAAACCTGCAACCTCTACGAAGAAATACATCCAACCTAGTGTTTTAACTGGCGAAAATGAACCCTGCAGGACAGGACTGAGATTCAGAAATAAGAAATAAGACTAGTGCCTGCAATTGCAGGGATGCTGGCTGGTGTGACCCTACAAGGGACTGTCGGTCCTCAGATTTCCTCAGCTATGGAGCTGATCGGGTTGAAAAAAGATTTCGTCTCATTGCACAGTCATATGCCTGTGAGAAATATGGATTTACCCTTTGACGCAGCCAAAGTACGTCGCTGGCTGAGACAGGGCAGCGGAGCAGTCAGGCCCCTGGAATGAAATCCTGACCCTCCTGATGCCACGGGCGAGTGGCCAAATCTCAGCTTTGGTCTGCTCCCAGAGAGCACCTCCCACGTAATGCTCCCTGCTTTCGGAGAGCTGGATGGAAGCTGCCTTTGCTCTAGCTACACAGGCTGAGACCCCACGTAGGGGAAAAAAAAAAAATAATCTGGATAGTTGAAACATGATCTTGGTGATTTGGATTATTTGGCAGAAGTGGATGGAGTGCTATGGAGGTTCTGCTTGCAAAGAAAAGCTCAAATGAAAGAAAAAGGGAGGGGGGGGAGGAAAGGAAGGAAGGATGAAATTTTCCTCCATCTAGTCAGCACCATATCTACCCAGATATCTTTGGTTGGATTTTATGCCAGGGAAAAATTAGTTTCTGGCCTCTTATAAGATAAAAGGCACAGCAGAAAGTTACATCTGCAAAATGCCAGGCTCTAGTTATACTTCTGAAAAGCATTTTCAGTGTTTACGATATTTAGGCTGTAAGCTATGTTCTGAGATATGAGACGGAAGATCTGAAAGCCAAGCAGATGATCTCCACAGATCATCGGTTCTGTCTCTTGCCTCCCAAGAAAAGAAAAAAAAAAAAAAAAAAAGAGAGATTCAGTCCCAGAATTACTTCTTTAAAGAACTGGGAAAATATAGGACAAAACATCCCAGAACTAAATACTTCTAAGGGGATGAAAAGTATCCCAAATACCAGCCCTGTTGCTTTCCCTGGGACACGTGAATAGAGAAAAGCTCTCCCGTAGGTGAGATTTAGAGCTGGCCTTGGAAGGTGCTCGCCACGTCTCAGAGGGCGCCCAGCTGAGCACGCTCTGCACGGTGGACTCGAGGCATGGAGGGAAGACGGAGCAGGGACTCGCTTCATCCAGAGGTTGTGAGGCCAAAGGGAACGGGGTGGAGAAAGGGTGTCTCTGCCATGCAACGTCGTGCCGTGTCAGAGAGCCCTCCTGCGTCCCGCGGAGCAGCAGGTCCACGCAGCCCCGTGCAGTGCCCTGCAGCGAGAGGAGCTCAGGAGAAGTTGCTAATTCGGTGACACGCTGATGGCTTCATGTTCCCAAGTCTCCTCTGCCTGGCAAGGCGTTGGGTGATGGAGACATAGGCAAAGCATCACCCACCCATCGGCACTCACTGAGCCTGCGTTATACCGTTTCAGCTACGACTCCGGCAACAAAAGGAAAAAAAAGCATAAATCAAAGCCCTGCCGTCACCCCAGATAAGTGTCTGCCAGCTCTGCCCATGCTGCCCACCACTCTCTCTAGCCCCCACAGCCTCGCTATCCTCGCAGCTACAGCCCGAGGCAGACTGGAAGGAAGATATGATTTAAGGTCCAGCATACACGTAGATACATTGGACTGCCACAGCACAGAAAAAGCACGTTAATACCTAGAATGCTTCCCTCGATGGCGCCACGACATGGTACACACACGCACACACGTACATAGAAATCTACAGGTAATGCATGGGAATGGCGTGTTGGCAGTGATACAGACCTTGGCGATGGTTCGGGCTGCTGCTCTTTCCTTTAAACAGAAGCAATAGTACATTAGCATGGTGTCAGGTGGCAAAAGATGTTGCTGCTTCACTGTTAAAACATAACAAAAGGACAATACCAAACAATACAACTAAGTGGAAGTTGTGGACAGAAGAGAGGGAAAGGAGCACTTAATTCCTGGAGCTTCTGGCCCGGACAGAAGATCACTGGAGACTCACACAACCTCAGAGAAGACACATACAACGCACAGGGTTGAAGAGTTTATCCCAACCCATCCTTGTGCCTACGCATGACTGAGACACCTGACGGTCGTGTGATTTGTGTGAGCACAGGAGGACTTCTGTGGGCTCAGAGAGCGGCCCCCTTCGTTTGGAAATGCACCGCCCTGCGCTGTTTCTGCACGTAGGGAAGGATTTGCACGGCTCCCATGACCCTGGTGCATTTGCTTTTCCTTCCCGGCCATCGGGACAGAGCTAATGCCAGATCTCTTGAGGGATGGCTTCACGCCGCAGTGCTAACGGGTGGTGTTGGGAGGGGGACATTGGTGGGAAGGAGCACGGACCCCTGCCCTGGCTTCCCGACACCCCAGTTGGGGTTTCTGCCTTCAAAGCCTATGGCAGCTACTTTGCCAAAGTAGCTGGCAAAGGTGGCTACGTGGAGGGAGTGGGACGCCACAGTTTTTGTATGCGGCTGCCTACTCGGATCCCAAAGCACTCGATTGCCCTGAAAAATCATTGACCTTGAGGACAAAGCGAGCTGAACACCTGCAGAAGTGTAGGCATAACACTGCAAGCCAAGCTAAGGCCACACTGAAAAAAAAAAATCTCACCTTCACTGACCAGGCATCTTGGTGGCATTTCCCTCCAGCAATGAGGAAAACCTGCTCTGCCTTCAACTACTCTGATTCACAGCTTCTTCACGCTGGGAAATCACATTTAATGTGGGGTCCTGAAGCAGCCTTACCCCTGTGGCCCCACAAGAGAGGGAGCAGACTGTGTTTCTCAGCAGCTAAGGGTCTGCTTTCCCTAACACCAGGCAGCCTAAGGGACAAACCAGACTGCAAGAAGACCTGGGCAGGAGGAGCTGGATTCCCTCTGAGCATGATGCTGTACCAGCCCTGGCCCTGCCTCTGCCCCAGTGACCACTGAGATCTGCACAGACCCCGACCCTTCTCCCTTAGGCTGAAGGCAGCAGCCTGGAGAGGCTGAAAAAAAATATCCCTCCACTCTCTGCTCCTTGCTCAGACAAGCTTGGAAGCCCAGCCTCAGTCACTAGCTCAAATACTCACATTTTAAAGTTTGCAGTCCAACCCATGGGTCTACAGATCTCTAGTCTCTGCAGAGACACCCAGCCCAGGGCAGGTCCATTCCCACACCTCCCCGGCTGGCCCCGATGCCCACCGGCACGGCCAGCACCTCTCCATCCCTCCTGGGCTCTGCACATTCCCCATTCACCAAACAGGGTGAAAAAACCAGGAATTACACATCCTGAGCATAGGTTTAAGCTGCAGGACTGCTGGCCTTCCAAGGCAATCACGTATACCTTGCCGCAGCAAATTTTGCAAAAATTTCTCACTGCTACAACCTTGCCTGCTCTCAGGGGAGGTGAAGGAAGGTTGGAGGGAATGGGGAATTAATTAACACATTGTGGGCCTGGGTCTCCTCTGAGGGTGGTGAAGAGCAGAAAGGTCAGAGGAAAACTGGGGACACTACCTTGATCAGACCCTTTGAAAATACGACCTTGTATTTTCAGCCAAGCATTGTAACATTACTCCAGAGCCAAGTTAGGCTGAAGAAATTCACGTACAGCATGGGAGAGGCATAGGGAGGAGGTCACTGAATGACCCACGGGGGACCAGCTGCAAAAACCTTGCACGTCTTCAAGGCTGTCCATATGCAAAAGGCAGGAAGGAAAAAAAGAACAGGAAAAAAAAAAAAAACAAAGAAAAAAAAATAAAAAGGTTGCAAATTTTCCAAACTCTCTTAACTCTGCTGCTAACCTGAATGTCAGTCCTGATTTGCTCTTCAGGTTCCTCAGGAGCTCCAGCTGGTTCAGAGGAGGGATGAGTCTAGAGGGAGAAAATAAATACCATTAATATTCAAGCAGAGCTGATTTCAGAGCCTCCCGTCATGGAAACTTCCCCTGCTGCCCCATCCTTTCAACTAGAACCAGCTTTGTGCCACCCACTGCAACTGGGGGACAGCTCGGGAAGGATGGAGAGGGCTTTGGCTGCTGCTTCCAACAGTGTCCTAAGGCAGAGTGATGGGGGAAGAGAGAGCGACAGCAAGAGAGAGAGAGAAACTTGTCTGCACCACCGGATTTTGAACCTCCCCAAAAACCAAGCGGCTGCCAGGGATTCTGAGCAGTACGGCAGTGTTTTGGCAGGCGAGCTGTTTCACCACCTGTAGTCTAGCTGTTGGCATTGCTTTGTTTGGAGATCAGCGCTTCGGCTGTGTATTAAGTGGAGAGAAGCTCCAGTTTCCGAGGCGAATGGGAAAACTCAGCCCTGCTTGCTCTTGGGAATGCGGGGAGGCATGGCAGGGAACAGCTTATAGGGCAGAAAAAACAGGCACCTGAGGTTGGGAGCATCCCAGGAGAAACAGCAGTGGGTGTCAGAGTCAAGTTTAACCAATTCCCTGCTGTCCGTGTCAGGTTTTGCCCCAAAATGAGGCAAACCCATGTATCATTGCCTTCTAGGAACCATGGGTTTTCCTTCCTTTCTCAGGAAAAGAACCTGACAATAGGAATCCTGGCTGATAATTAAAAAACCCCAATGAACAAACACCCTGTTGCCTATCCTGCTTTTGTGCTGCAAGCCATTGAATTAACTCCCACATCCACTTTTGGTTTCTTCCCTCAGACCCTGGGAGACTGGGACTTGCTCCATAAATATTTAACGTTGATATTCACAGTCAGGTTCTCAACCAAGAGAGATGCGAGCTGGAGGTGTCGGGGGGAGGACGGAGAACGCTGCACACAGTTGGGAAGAGCAGCATCTACTTAAGCGGGTACTTGGGGACTCAAGTTCAGGGTCAAGGCCAACAGGGCTCATCACATAGCTGGCTGCAAAATCCTTTCCGAGCCACCAGCATGCCCTTGTCAAACTGTCAAAGTGCCACACGCCATCGCTATGCCCAGAGGTGGCGTTTGCAACAAGCGAGCAGGAGGATGCATCATCACGGGGATGAAGAGGAGGATGAAGAATGGGCTGCTGGTGGGTTGGGAACCGGCTGCCTGCAGCTGCCTGCATCGCTGCAGTTGGGGACACAGCCCAGCCACATCCCCAAGAGAACATATACTTATAGCTTTGCTGGAAAGTGAGCCACGTAGGTTTCAGAGAAAGCAAGAAGGACCTACTCAAACTGTCCCAAAACTGCAAGGACTAGAAGAAAAGGGGTGCAAGCACTTGCACCCCCCTAACAGACTGATCTCGGCTGAGATGCTGTAAGAAATAGGGCTGTTGCTTACTGTAAAATAAAGGCAGAGATATTTATGCCTGTATTTTTTCAGCTATTATGAGACTAATAGTTTCAGTTTTCCTCTGACCGAAAAAAAAACCTAACTGAAAAAGCCTCTCCTCTGCACGCACAAGACTCATCCTCAAAACCACAGTTGTTCAGCAGAGCAGAATTGGTGTTCGCAAGATTGAGGCAATCAGAAAATTTTCCAATCCTAAGTATGGAGAAAAGAATAAAAATAGGCCTGAAAATTTTGGCTCGGCTCCCCAGCCCAGCTCTGTTCGCTTCCATCCAGAGAAGAGCACATCCTGATCTGATGAATTAATGATCCTCTTCACTCGAGACGTCAGGAAGAAGCTGACCTTGGTGCAGCGGAGCAGTGCACGAGTGCTGGGCTATCACCTCCCTTCAAACCCACCGTAGGGTTTGCAGTTTTGTTCCAAGATGGGAAAAGGTGGTGCATAAAATCAAGCACAAAGCCTACTTAGCAGTTAATGCAGGATGCACAACTGTTCTTTGGGGAGTTAGCTTCACAGGGAGGTCCGTACCCAGCAGAACATAAGACAACAGCCTCGTTTTCTCCAGCTGGGATCACAAATCCAGGGCTCCCACCGATGCAAGTCTCGGAGCTGAAGAGCTTATTAGCTCGCTGGATTGAAGGATTCAGGATCCCCAAAGGAGCTCTTTCCTTCGTATTAGCCCATAACACAAGGTTTACACCGTGCTGAAGGTGGCAATCTCTTGGGCCACCACAGATGCTTCCAGGCAAAGGAAAAGCCACACAGGCAAACACCGAAAGGCACCGATTCTGTGGTAGGGTGATGGGCCTGGTACCCATGTGGTGGAAAAAAGAGATGTTTTACTGAAACGATGATTATAAAAAATGGGTGCAAACTCATCCGTGTACTTTAACCTGAATTAAATGCCCAGCCTAACCTGCCATTACAAGAGCAGCTTGGGGAGCAGCTACTGCATTGCACTGTTTCACCAGAAGCTGAAAGAAAATGCAGGGCTCTGCACAGCGCTTTAACTGAGCATTCCTATAAAATGCTGGATGGAGGGCACCCTGCGCTGCTGTGCGTGCCCAGGGGACACAGGTGCCACTGTGTCCTCCGGAGACATGGAAAAAGGCCCTCCGGCTGGGGCGTCTCGTGTTTTCTCTCTCTCCTCCTGGTCCGTGTGTCACTTGTTAGCAAGGGAAGCACGTTTTGGTTAAAGGGGAGCTAGGTGAGAAGATCCGCACGCCACGGGAACACACACAGCTCATGCTACCCACCACAGCAACACTTCCGAGCCGCCGGCTGCTGTAGCGGTACCTATAGCTGCTTCCCATCACCCCTCCCAGTACAGCACACAGAAACACCACGCTAACTCCAGGTGCCGGCTCCCCCCATCCAAAGGGAAGGTAAATTTGCTATTCCTGCTAGCACAGATAACATTCAAGCGTCTGGGGACGGTAGGGATATCATGCCTCCAGCCAGGACGTCATCAAAACCCCACAACACGAGGAGGGGAGCAGCACACGACGGCGGGTGGGAGCGTACACAAAACCGCGCGCACACCACGACACGCACACACACAGAGACGGTGATGATTTTTTTTCAAAACAGCCCCAGTATGAACAATTAGGAAGAGGGAGACAAGGAGATGGATGCTGGAATGGGATGGGGACTTAAATGAGTCTCCATGCTGTGCTGGAGTTCCTATGAGGAGCCAATTTTTACCCTAACCGTGACTTTATGTCTCCAGCCTAAGCTATTTTTCATAACTGAGAATATTTATGAAACTTATAAATTATTTTAATATAAGAAATGGAAGTGGCACATTCTTATTTTACTCCCAGCAGTAGAAAAAAGTCTGATTCTCAAAACAGGCTGCTGTTCAGCACAACAGGAAAATGCATTCATAATATTATACTTGCAATTCATTGATGCGATTTGCTGTAAATTAACCACACAAAGTGGTAAGCGTGATTTACTAAGGCTGTAAAACTTGCATCTGTGAAAACTGGAACCAGGTTTGGAAATCAGGCACTAAATCACATCAGCTCTAATGGCATTAATGCATCTAGCGAGGATTGAAACTGCTCTGAGAACAGAGCTTGGCCCACAGTCTTGAAATGCAAGCCATTTATTCCCCATCTTAAAATATTGACTTGACTACACCTTCAGATACCCACCTCATATAAAATATGCCTGTGATTTGAAAATCTACTCTTTTCTGCAGAACCTGAGATAATGTTATTTATCATAAATCTTACACAGCCATATACAGGTCTTTGCATTTGGATTGATGCTGAAAGGTTAAGTCCCAGATTGAATAACTGGGGCTAATAACTGCTTGGCTCTAGGTCAGTCTTGGAAGCAAAAAGTGAAATGGAAAAGTCCTGCCGAGATGGGACATCCCTTTCCCAAAAATCAGGCTGGATTACTAGGAGAAATGAATGATTATTTCAGTTTAGCACCCCAGCTCGATCTCTCCTCCAGATGTTGTCCTCAAAAGCAGACACAGCTGCTACTGTGATTTCATTCTGTGCCACCACACCAGGAAATTCAGCAACCGTAGCATTACCTGGTGGGCACAGCTCCTACAGCATGAAGTGGGATAAATGACACCATGAAGGATGGGAAAAGAGGGCTGGAGAAAGGGGAACACGCAGGAGTGATGGCAGAGGGAAAATGGAAATATGAACGGGGAAGTTTTCTTGTTAAGCTTTGTATGAATTGGAGGAGGTTGGTAAGACCATCAAGAAATCATCCTTAAAAAAGCAAGCTTATCAAGTGCTGTCCCATTCTCCTTCCTTAAATTGTCATTTTGGCAGACAGTTTCCCAACACTTGTGTGTACCAATAGCTAAAATGTACATGGAGGTGCATGGAGTTAGTCTGTAGGCAGCAGGATGGGGAGTCTGGTTTGGGCTTTCACTCATTCCTTTGAAAAAAACTGATCTTCAGAGGTTTCTTTTTTTTTTTTCCTTCTTTTTTTTTAATTAAAGGCTTTGCATGTTACAGTCCCAAACGAAGAACAAGGAGTGACATGACACACAGTTTCAGAGTCACATGCACTTCATACCTGGAGGCACCGTACGTTTGCGTTTGCGTGCTTTTCAAGTGTTTTCACCAAAGAAAACCAAAGGGATAAGAGAAAGAAAAACAGGGCAGGGGGGAAGGTGGGGCGGAGGAAAGGGGAAAAGAAACAGAATAAAGAAAATTAGCACATGAACGAAGTGTACCCAGTGCACCAGGCTTACAGGTGAGCACGGGAGCATGGGCTGAGCTCGCTCCCGCTGCAGCCGGCTCAGAAACCACCACGCACCCGCGTCACCCTCGGGGACAGGCAGCTGGCACCTTGCTCCGAAAGCAAACGGGCACCAAAGAGCAGGGAAAATATGGGGGCCCTCCGAGATACCTTTCGTGAGACATCCCCAGCCTCCGGTCCCATCAGCCAGGGACTCCTCGGGCTGGGCTGCTGACTTGGGCATGATGTGCTGGTGGGGTTTTTTTAGTGAAGGCCAATACATGAATGTAGTTGAGATCAAGGCCCTGTTCTCACGAGTGACAATAAAGAGCAGGTTATTTTTTTTCAGCAAGTCCAGGTTATGATCTCTGGGCGCACCAAGCTACGCGTGCATTACAAGCCCAAATCATACCTGCGCGTACAGGAGCTGTGTGCGTATTTCAGATTTGGTTCTACCAGATTTTTAATTTAAAGATGAAATCTCAGATTCTCTCAGAGGCCACCATATTTTCCCCAAACGAGTGAGACTAGGTCTACTGCAGCGACGTGAGTGATGTTCTGGAGACACGTGAGCTCCTCCAAGGCACGTGTAACAATTTTTCCCATATCAAGCAGCCAGTATTTTCAGAGTTGCCTTGAGAAGACAGGTAAGCTCAAGTCCCAGGGCTCCCGCTATGAGGAATAAGCAGCCTAATGTTGAGCAGAAAAGGTGCCAAAGTAGCGGTGACTGCAGATCACGCCCAGGCACCCGGGAGGGAGACGGGGATATTGTGTTCCTCCAACCCACTTCCTAACCACGCTGCGCGCTGCAGCCGCATGTCAGCGGCCATCGCCTTAATGCGGCGCTGGGCTTGACGTGCTGCTAAGGCTGCACCAGCGCAGGGCTGCCAGCTGGCTTAGTGAAGTGGGTAGTCAAGGATAGATGGACAGTGCGAGTGATGGAAGCTGCGGCCAGAACATACAGTTACCCCCTTTTTCTTTTTTTCAATTTTTTTTTCCCAATTAATTTAGCTGACTGCATGCAAAATATATTCAAAAGTGGTTCACCGCTTTCTTGGTAAAAAAAAAAAAAATCCAATTTGACTAACAGCTGAATCCATCGGTGCTCCCACGGCTCACTCTCCCAGGTGATGTTCACTTTGCCTGCGCACAGACAGGAGTTGGGATTTAAGGGTGAAGCTGGGAGAGCAGAGAAACCTCTGCCTAGGGAAGCCCAGGGAGACGCTGCTGCCTGGAGCAGCACCCGCAGCATCAGCCAGCAAAACTGCTACAACCCTGCTGCAACTTTGTCCTGGCTTTTTACTCAAGATAGCTGGGTTCTTCCCCAAACTACATTTTTTGCTCTTTCTCCTCCCCAAAGTTTTTATTTAGCTGCTTCTGGAGCTCTTTACCTTAGTTTTCCTCCTGCGTACTAGCCCCATGGGGAAATACAGGTTTTAACAAGCAGATTAAGTAGCAGGTAATTACCCCAGTACATCCTCATGCAAAAGGGTGTCACTGTATGTCTGGCTGGGTGGTGAGTTGAGTCTTTCAAAGGAAAACCTGGCAAAGTCCACTGAAATCAGCCCCTGGCTTTCTGCGTTTTGCAGCGGACTTCGGACCAGGCTCCGGTCCTCATCCTTCCCAGTAGCTGATCTCAGCCACCAGTGCTGCAAATGGACAGCGAGAAGGTCAAATACTGGGAGGGAGAGTTTCAATGGGTGGGCTTAATGCTATTGGAAAACAGTTTTGTTCTGTTTTGTTGGGTTGTTGCATTTGGGGGTTTTTTTTAGGCAAAACCTTGAAGTCGGTTCATAAACATCTAGGGAAAAAGCAACTGATCAGACACACACTGGGAATGAATCCAATGAAAACTTACTGACCACAACATGACACCCAACAGGTTTTTAAGATGGATTAACAGGCTGGCTGCTGCATTTCAAATACAGGCTAACGCTTACCCTAGAAAATATACCCAGACCGTCTGCCCGAGGGCTAGAAGGCACCAGTAGCATGGGAAAACAGAAAGAGATTCACACCTTGTGCTGGACCACAGCCCTGCTTGAGAGCAGGGAGATGGAGCACAGGGAGCCCCATCACTCCCACCAAAACCCCGCAAAGCTACGGGAATATCTAATGAACACGTCCGACTCCTATACAAACTCAGAGAGATCTGGCTAGCCCCTAAAAAACACACCAGAAAGGGATGCGCGGCCCTGCCCGGGATGCAGCTCAGTGTGGAGCGGAAAATGAACGGCAATGTTTTGCATTTTAGCTTCTGGGGAAGCCTCCTCCTCGATGCCGCCAACCCCGAGAGTGACACGGGGGATGCGGTGCTTCCCCACATCCCGGAGGGCAGCGAGGCATGGCAGGGGACTCCGTCCCCATCTCCACAAAGCTCCAAATCCCGAGAGGCTGTGAGTTCCCACAGCACTGCTCTAACCTGTGCTGTTTCAGGTGAAAAAACTGCCTGGGTACGATGACGAGTTACGTCTCCTTAAAGCAAGCCAGACGGATGCTGCTAAAACACAGCAGTGCTTTATCAGCATCATCCGTCACGGCTCCGCCGTGATCTGCGTCAACAGATCGTGATGGATAAATTAAATGCAAGAAATGGGAAAATGCTCACTGAATCCTGATTTGGTTTTCCTCCTCTTAGGGGAAAAAAAAAAAAAAGGAAAGGAAAAAGGGACCCAGGGCAAATGCACCTGGGGAGAGTGCTGGGCCGGTCAAGGGAGGGACAGAAGTTTGCTGAAAGGCAGAAGGATCATTAAAGACTGGCTAGAGCAGCAAGGAGAGCCTGAGTGGGCACAAGGAGCTGCACGCAGGGCAAGGGCGGCATTTACCTACGATCCAGGGCAGCTCGGGAGAGAGGTCTTCACACCTGGGCACGGCAACTGTCACAACACAATGCAACTAGCAGCGAACGTGAAGAAATAAAGGTGAAAAGAAGAGCGTGTGCACACACAGACACAAAAAAGAAAAAAAAAACAAACAGGGAAATAAAAATCAAGTCAAAAAGAAATACACAAAAAGAAACCAAAGCAAAAATACTCCAAAAGAAAAAAGCATATACCAACCCTTAAGAGCTGTGGAAATCAACTTTTTCAATGTAAAAGTAAATAAATAAACAAAACTATATATCCAGAAAACAAAAAGAAATATGGAGACAGTGGCATCACGAGGAAGGCGGTGGAGGAGGAGGTACCTGTACATGGGGACGGTGACGGTGCGTTCGTAGTACTGCCAGGTGGAGTGCAGGTCCGTCCGGGACAGGTTGGTGGCATAAAATCTCCAAGCCGCCTGCGGAGGAGACACGGTGGGATTGTGGACCCGGGCATGGCCAGCACTACCTTCAGTAGTAGTATAAATAAACCTCAGCCAACACCGAGTCCTCCCTCTGTTTTCTGTGGGACAGTTCTGACATTCTGCCTTTTGCTTGATTTGATAGATGACATATTTGGGGTGGGACCATGATATTCCTGACCACGTGAGCCCAGCTAAAGATGCTGTGGGTACCAGGCGCTCGCTGTCAGGTTGAGGCCAAGTATCAAATGGTTGTTGTTGCCCATTAGGGAGTTAAAAAACTAGGAGAGAGAGGAGCAGGGGAATGTAAAGTGACACTAATTTCAAATCTCCGAGACAAACACCAAGGCCAACCTTCTGTGCAGACATCTGTTATCATGAAGAAAATGCTCCCAATTGTAACTTTATATCAGTATAAATATTCTCTTTGGGGAAAAAAAAAAAGTTTTGTGAAAACAGACTGTCCTAATGCATTTGTCTTGCTGTGCTGGGCTGGATTTTGTTCCTTTTCTCCCCCAGATTGCCTACCACATATGTTATTTTCCCATGGCTGATTTCCTGGCATTTATTCCCAGACATGACCAGTCACCAGCTGCTGTCTCACGCCTTACACACACAGCCCCATTTTTCACCTGCCCATCTCCTCCCCAACTTCTAGAAGTCTATTAAGCCCCCCCAAAATCAGGACGATAGGAAGGTTCCCATCAGGAAGGTTCCTTGGAGGTGATCCTCACCTGAATCAGGCCCGCTGCTGGGTTTCGCCTCTTCTCAAAGTGTTTTTGTCGATGCTGCTCTTGAACCTTCAGAGCAAACCCCGAACCCAAGATGCCCTGGGCAAGAGAACAAAATTTTGCAGTTAGCAGGGCGTTAGCTAAGCCTTCACTTAAAAATTGCAGCCAACTTTCCTTCCAAAGGTTTGTTCTGGCTCATTTTTTCCTTCAAACGTACAGAGGAAGGAAGGAGAAGCCCCCATCCAAGGCAGCCCTGGCAGACACACTCCCAGTGAAGGGGCAGCAGACTTTGCTGGCGCTCACTGGAATTGCTGCTTTTCCCAAACTACCTCCAGCCGGCTGATAAAATACAAAATAACCACACTGTGCTGGCATTCAGCAAATTATCCCCATAGGGGAAAATCAGATCCATGCAACGCACTGAAATGCACTGCGAAAAGGACAGGGCTAATTTGCTGAAATAGCATAATCACCCCTCAGAACAGCCTTTTGCAGGAAAAAAAAAAATTTTCACTTCAATAAACACTTGTGCAGTGCCAAATCTAGAGTTTCCATCCCGTTCGCTCAGAAGCATTGTGTCTGAGCTGTTGATATTCAGATAGGGGTGCCCTTCTCCCCCCCCCCCCCCCCCTTTTTTTTTTTGACTCAACAGCCACGGAGCAGCGGGGCGGTCTCTGGGTGCATCACACCGCTGGACGTAGCTGTTGCGTTGCCACCAGCTCCAGGGGCCGGGGACAAAGGACAGAAAAGCTCAGCCCCCCCCCCCCCCCCGAAAAGCCGCCGCCCCCCCTTACGGCAGGAAGAGCGAAGAAGGAGACACCGATGAGCGTGAAGGTAGCTGCCAGCAGCCGCCCGTTCCAGGTCTGTGGGTACTTATCCCCGTAGCCGATGGTGGTGAGAGTAATCTGCAGGGAGGAGAACACCGCACGGCCCTGGGTCAGCCAGCCTAAAAATTAAAACAACACGACCGAAACACCCGCAACAGCAGAGCGGGACACGGAGGGTCACCACGTGCCCTGAGTTGACCAAGTCAAGGTGAAGTTTGGGTACCCGGGATGAGCATCTCCGTGGGAGGCAGTGATGCCCTGACACCCAGGACACCGCTGCCGCCCTCCCTGCTCGGCGCGCTGAGTTTTCACGCCAGTCGAGAGTGTTTTTGTGCCTTTGGCTGACACAGAGAGAGCTGCCATCTGGTGCAGAGGCTTGCGGCAGCTCGGAGCCTCCCCCGGGAGATGGGGTTGCGCCTTCGGCAGGGGAAGCGAACGGGCATGGTTCCCCCAAACTCCCTTTCGGCATCTCACGAAAGAAGGCAGGGCTGTTTGCATGCATACGGACCTGATGCTGTTTATTCCTAATCTTCCCAGCACTGCCTATTAGGCAGTCTCCCTTCCTATTTAAAAAGAGCATATTAGCCCAACAGGATGAATTATGGCTGCTGCGTACAACCTAATTTAGGGATGTTTTTTCCCCTCCTCGGTATTACTGCAGTACACCAAGAGAGTGCTGGCAAGCTGCTGTGTGCATTTTTGAGGAAGGAGCTGAGAGATTTATTGGAGCCAAAGAATCCCCTGAACTCCAAACTGCAGAAAAAGAAAAGACGCATTTTCCTACTTCAGTCCACGAACATCGTTAGTGGGAAATATTGGGTATCCCCTAAGGCTTCCGAGAGGATTTTGGAGAGCCTGGGATTGCCAGGGCAAGGCAGGGAGACATGGTTTGATTAGGAACATCTTCTTTGAGACTTCTGCTCAATGGTCCCCAACGGTCCCTGTGACAAGTGGGAAGTTGTCCCCGTCCCACAGCCTCCGCAGACAGAGCTGGGTCAGGGACAGGACCTGACACCATGCTGATGTGGCTTTGGAAACCTCATGCATTCAACTTGGAATAAAATCACTTTTACACAAATGGAAGTACGATCCCAAAGCACTGTTTAATTGGACCCACTAAAAGCCCTATCAATTAGATGCCATTTTGACAAAGCGGTTAGAAAATGCATCTACGTGGCTATTCCTTACTGAAACACAAAGTTGAAGCAATGCTTTCTCCACAATGACTGTAAAGTTGGTTTACAAATTTTTTGTAATTTATTTAGACAACTACAAGGATTGGATCCACTAAGATCAGACCAAGGGATGAGTTTCTGAACCTGAAATTTGATTTATTTTGCCCATCTCTTAACAACCGTCTGTACTGGACCCATAAGCTGGACAACGACAAAACCTGTTTATTTTAATAAAGCTCAGATTTTACTCGGAGCTTCTTAGTGGCAAAACAGCCTGGTGCACCTCCACGTCCTGAAATGGGGCAGGGGTGATCCTCTGCCAAAGGCTCACGCAGCCTGGGAAGCAGGAGGGATAAATCCACACATGGGTCTCCCTAGGCTGAGCTCTAATCTGAGCTGTCACTTTTTCCTCATTGTTTATTTTCTAGTTATGTCAAATTGGGCTTTGTTTTTATTTTTCTGTCACAACCAGGGGGCTTGAAAAGCAATTTACTGCTTCTTTCCCTTTGTTGGAACAGAGGAGCTGCTTGATCAGCCGATTCCTCCCCAAGCCTGTTATTGGGATTTGATCAGATCTGGGATTTTCATTACATGCTTTGTAATCAAGGCCAAACCAGCACCACAGTGTCGGAGCAGAAGAACAATAACGCAAGAAGATTAGGACGTCATTAATTCTCTCTTTGTTAATCGGGTAATCCAATAATTCACATGCACATGCACACCCAGAGCAAACTAAAAGTATTGCCCTTTCCTCCTCTGTCAGCAAAGATGTGAAAGGGGAGTGCTTTCAGCGCTGAAGTCTCTCTGGTACTTAGACCCTATTAATTTTAGAAAATTTATTCCAGCGTGTTTAACAGCACGTTGCCCAAGTACGATTATAAATAATTAAAGGGCGGCAATACTTGTCAAAATGATGATCAAAGCACCCCGTAGCGTGGGGTCTTTATTTGACCTGCCTCTACTGTTGCGACAGAGCTAAATCCCACAATTGAGAGCGCGCGAGTTCCCAGTTTCCTTGCAGCTCCAGCTAATTCAAGAAATGTGATCCCCCCAAATTTTCTATGAGGTTTTTTTAAGAAAAAGAGCTAAACGGAGTAGCCTGAAACCATTTAATAAAAATGTTAACTAAGCACTCCGTAAGTTGATTCCTCACATAAGTGATAGAAGATGGAGAGTTAATGGACATCTTATTTTAATAACCAGCAGCTGTTCTATGAAAATTACTTACCAGACCCCACCAGAGTGCATCTGCGTATGTATCAAAGTGCTCATTTTCTCCTTTCTCGGCCAAGTATACCAGGAAAGAGGCCAGAATGAGGCACAGGAAGCCAATATACCAGGCAGTAATCAGCTCCTGCAAGATCATTAAGGGATAGAAGAGAATAATTGCAATCCTGGTGTGCATCTCCAAAAGTCGAGTTACTTGCTTCAGGTTGGATCTGAACTTTCCCTGCATTTGTTTAGGCTTCTGTTGGAGATCAGTAGTGCCACTTTTTGAGATGGGACCACGTACTGGTGGTGGCCCTGCAATGCTCACGGGGTGATCCCTGTCCTGAGGACCCCATCATCTAAACACATACGGCAAATGGAGAAGGAAAGGGAGTGTTAATAGCTCCATTATTTCAAGATGTGGAACTGAGGCTAAAAAATAATAATAATAAAAAAAAAGTATTTCCCCAGTTCACACAGGGAATTGGGGTTCAAACTGAAATGGGAAGCCCCAAATCCCTGGGGACTCCGCTTAGGGCAGGTCCCTTCCACTAACTGGGGAGAAGCTACAAAGCTGGGGTCTGGATACAACATGCCCCGATTTCAGGGAAGTTTTAATTCAGAATTCACGGGAATGATTGGTTTTGGATGAAGTTAATACAACGGTGGACAAGAGACCCATGAATTCCCTATGATTTTTACATAGTTCTGGACAAGGTGGCCAAGCTTTTCAAAGGAAAAAGCGCAGGAAATGGCAGAAAATTTAAATCCATAATTCAGCAGCAGAAAACAAAAAAATTATCAGCAAACTCTTCCCAAACCAGAGAAAGGCCAAGGTGCCTTACACCAGGGAGCAGTTCTGCAACTGGTACATGATCTTATGTTGGGAGGAGGAACCTGGCACAAGAATCGTGTCTGCAAGAGGCTGCTGCTCGCAGGATGCGCTTTCAGAAACACGTCCGCTTTGAAGCGTGCATCACAAAGAACTCACAGCAACACCTGTGCTTAACGAGGCTGCTGGCTAATTGCTAACTCTTGGAAATGAGCTGTGTCAGCGTGCAGGTGGTCACAATGTTCAAGATATTCCCTGCAAGCATCCGAACATCCCTCGTTTCTCTCCTCTACTGGCTGGAGGGCTCCATCGGACCTTGTCTCTCTGATTTTGCATTGCTCCCCATGTTACCCTACGGTGACTTTCCAATCTCCCCAAGCCTGGGAGGTGGTTGGGGTGGAGAACTGAACCAAAGCAGTGTTTCTGGTAGGGGGAAAGTGAAGAGCAACTCAATGTGCTTGCTTGGGACTTGCTCACCTTACTGTGTGCATAGACCACGGAGCCCAGGAGCTTCCAGGTGCCTCCCCGCCGGTCCATGCGGATCATGCGCAGGATCTGCAGGAACCTCAAACTCCTGAGTGCTGAGGTGGCAAAGACGTTCCCTTGGGACCCCGCCGCCAGCACAGCGATGGACGCGATCAGCACCATGATGTCTGCACGAACAGAGGGCATTGAAAGCTGAAGAAATGCTGTTGAACCGTTCCCAAACGGGATGGCACTCCTACCGCCACTGGCAGCAGAAGGCTGTGCGCGAAAGGGAACTTGCATCAGTCGTATCTTGTGTGCAAGGATGTAGCATAAATCTTAACCTGGATGAAGGGAGCCACTACACACCTTATGGAAACATCCTAGTATCCTTCTCCAGACTCATCCTTCCTATAGAAAATGTGTCAAATACTGAAAAGCCTGAATTCTGATATGGTTCAGTGTTAACACTGCTAAACTGGATTAAATCCTTGCAAAATGCATGCCCTTTTTTAATCAGCTGCCTGTTACACAGTGCTGTCCAGAGGTGTGAATTCCCCCGTCTAAATTAGGAATGAAAACCCAGAGCTCCACCATAGCAATCCTACAGTGCTCACGGACAAAGAAAGGCCAAGAAAAAACAGCCTTGCTCTATATATCCCAAATCTGAGGATCCTGAAAACCTCCCTCTTCCCTGGTTTTCTATGCAAATTTTATAGGACTGCTTTTCTGTAGAATAAGCTAAAATCCTGCATGTGACCATTGCCAGCTCCTGGACATTTGAAAGCAGGCTCTATAGCGAATGGCACGGCCTCTCTGCCCACTCCTTACCCCGCTAAAAATAACTGTAGCACACAGATGGCCCCTTTCACGAGAGGGCTGCCAAGTACTTTACAAACAAGAATTAATTAAGTCTCGTAACTCCCTTGTGAGGCAGCTCATCAGCACCAGGAAAGGCAAAGTGAGACACAGAGTTTCAATGACTCGTGAGCAATTCGGTGTCAAGGTTGGACACAGGATCGCAGGATCCCAGATCCTACGCTCAGCTTCTCCTGGCTCAATCCACATTCTGTGGCTGTGGGCAGCTGTCAGCGATGCCAGGGGTACACAGGACAATGGGACGGCTCCCAGGTCTGCAGAAAACATGGCCAGCCTCGTGCAGAATGAGGAAAACGACAGCCGTGGATTTAGGACTTTTGCCTTTGCTCTCTTTCCCTTCTCAAGGTGACCATGAAGCAGCTGAGGATCAACCCTCAAAATGCACGCAAGAAAACGGAGCATCGTGCAAGCAAGCGCTTGCAATAGCCACTTTGGTTTGGGAAATCCCAAGCAGGGAGGCAGGTCTTACCAATGACGCAGAAAGGTTTGCGGGCAAATTTTAACCTTCCCCTCCAGCCCCGGTACCGGCAGCAGCAGCCGGCTGCCCAGATCCTCACAAAGTATTCGACCCCGAACACCACGATGGTGACGATTTCCTGCAAGGGAGACAATGCCATTAGTCGAGAAAGAAGCGTAATGGAGAGCACGCTCCAGAATCAAATACAAACCCATAACTGAGACTCTGTACACCTCAGAAAATATATCACAGAGCTGTCTGCACCAGGACTGTTAACGGAGAGCCCAGGCTTGAAAGACTGTCAGATCTCTGCTGTTGTGTTTTCCCTCACCCTCCCCTGGGGTGGCGAGAGGTACAGCACATCGTAGCCTGTGAACTAGAGTTTTACACCTTCTCGTATTGTGTTTGTGACCGCCGTCACAGGACTGACGAGTACCTGCTTATCTCCCCACCATCAGTCTCCAGGACTTGGCTAGGTTAACGCTGAGCAGCTCAGAGGAAGACCAGAAATGGGAATCACTGGCTACTCCATCCTAGGACTCTTCACAGGGGATTTGAGCTTTTTCCCCAGGAATTGGGACTGGGTTGTCCCTGTGTGCTGGGCTATCTCGTGCAGAGGCAGCGGAGATCCTCTACCCCTCGATGCCAAGGGAGCACGCCAATGCTGTGCATTACAGCTCTTCCCATCGCCACCCAAACACCCTGTGCACTTTCCCTTCCCTCTGATTTCTTTACTAGCAGCACTTGCCTCAGCTTTCTCACGTATCAAACCTGACAAAGCCCTAATTAGTCTGCAGCGCCTTTTGATGTTGATGTAAGGCAGGGACCGGGGAAGAGGAAAAAAGAGAAAAGGAAAGGAGATGGGCAAATCCGGCAGCCCCGCGACGTGGCGGTGCGTGCAGGATCTCTGCTGGCTCTTGATGGCAGAAGCCACACTGGCAGTGCGAGGGATGCCGGGCTATTTAGGGAACAAAACTCTGCAGCTCGATGACAGATCAAATAGTTGCAGGGATATTATAGTGTGGGAGAGGAGGCAGCTACGCGGGCTGCTCCCTACGCAGAGCATCCGCAGCTTTAAATCTTGGGAGCTGTTGGACATCAAACTGCTTTTCTGTTGGGATCAGTCTTGCTACTGCATTTTGCAATTGAAGATAAATGCAGAAAAAAAGAAAAAGTTTAGAAAGAAGGTTTTTACAAGATCCTTAAAGATATTTTGTTTATTCCTGATACAGAATTCTCCTTTTCACATTTTTCCTACTTCTTACCTGCAGGTCCCAGTGGTCCCCTTCTCACAAGCCACAGTTTCAATTCTTGCCCCAGTTAGAAACCCCCAACCTCAGCTTTTTTGTGTGTTTTTGACTTTGTTTTGATGCCTCACTGATGACTTCATTTGCAATCCCCCCACTTACCAGGATGTAAAGGGCCCCTTCTGAGCTGTTCTGGTACTCATCAATGGTTGAAAAGACAGACAGCACCAGGCAGGAGAAAACTAGTAGAAAACTATATAACACAAAAATAAAAAATAAAAAAGAGAGAGAGAATGTTAGTCTTCAGAGCAGGAATTTTTTACACTTCGTCAAACTAGTCAAGAGAGCATTTTTGGACATATTTCTCTAGGAGTATTTACTGTGCTGCTGCTACAACACCACATAAAAAGGGAAAGTAAAGTCCCTGGTTTTATTAACTGGAAGGCTTATGTGTGGATGGACCCACTGGACTGTTCCCAGTTTGCCCAGTGCCAATCCAATTCCCCTCCCAAGACCTGGCGGCTCAGCTCACCTCTGACATTATTTCCCCAAGGAACTGTCAGCTCTTACTGCAACATGCTTTCAACAAGCATGCAAACAAGCAGGAAAATGTATTAATGTGATAACAGGTGACCGGGCTGGCTGATGAGCAGGAGCGCAGGCTGAACACAAACCCAGAGAAAACTCCACTGACGCTCTGCTTCTGCATTTGCACCCACAGAAGCTTACACAGGAGTGGCCCCGTTTCCCATCCTTGCCAGGGTAGGACTTTTTTGGGTGGATTTAATGTTCCTTTCTTAGGCAGGGGCTCCAGATTAACTCCGTACTGCCTGGAAAGGCTGGTGACTTTTTAGATTTGTTTTCGATTTTGCCCTGCAGGGACACCGAGCCCCATCCTGCTGGGAGAGGACACCCAGCTTTGATATTAGCTCTCTCAGTCTCTTCGATTTACCATGAAATAGGGGAGATTCTCAAAACCCCCTTAGAGCGCATGTCCAGGTCTCATTGACGTCTACTTCCACAGGCTATCCCAAAAGCAGCCTCAGAAGTGCCACACCACCCCGTCATTCACAGGCTGTTCCCATCAAAACTGCCCGCTCTGTGCTTTTCGTAAATGCTGGATGTACTAGTGCAAATCTAAAGGCACAAAATGAATGACAGGAGCTCGACTCTGTTCTGACACTCGATGCCTGAGTCTGCAGCTACAGAGGTGTCCTGGCATCTGCTCACGGATGGAGAAGTTTTCCACCAGCCCGCAATGCCCACTGCTTGCTCAAACAAAAGGAGGGAAATTAATTTACTGAAGATCAGTTTACTGATATGATAAAGTAGGCCAGCGCAAGGAGAAACTAAAAGATGCGTTCTTTAAAAGCATTAAATAATTCATCTGTCTGGCTTTGTCTCACATTCCTACAAAGTGCATTTTGAATACTTATAAGGTACGGTTCAGCTGGTAGGTGCTGATCCTTTTTGCTGTATAAAGCAAAGGAGTTTCACACCACTGGGTCATGTTTGTGGCTTTTAAAGGACCATTAATGTCACAGTAACAAGTAAAAATAGCAGGATCTGCAGTATTTATTTGAACCACAGGCTGAAGCGTCCCTGCCTCCTGGAGGTAAAGGACCTTCAGAGCCATCTCAGCGAAGGCTGAGCTTTGTCAGCAGCAAGATGAATTCAGCGCAGACCAGATAAGGACAATTGCCTGATTCCTCACTGCAAATTTCCTCTTCTCACAACAGGTCTGGTACACGGAGACTTGAAACAACCTTGAGAGAGTAAGAAAATATGCCTTGCAAACCCATTCATGATGTCCCTTAATGTCTTCCCTGGGTGTCACTTGAAATGTTTTTTCTCCCCAAGGTGGTCTTTTAAAACCCTTGCCATAAACAAACCTACCACAACCTGCCCTGCAGCCAAATGGACTCCATCCATCCCTACATCCTCCAGGTTGCTTGGTCCACCTGGAGGTGGAGACGGGACCGCACTGGTGCCCACCCCGTGGCAGGGGGGAGCAGAGTCCTGCACCACTGGAGGGAGGGAGCTGCAACTGGGTCAGGCAGCCCTGCTCCCAGGGTGGCCCAGATTTTGCTGCAAACTTCTGCGCTGGAGCGAGAAACAAATGAATAATCAATGAAAGAAGAAAGAGAAGAAGAAAACAAAACAAGATAAAGCGATCGGGGGGAGGAAAGAAAATCCTACATTTTCTGATCAAAGAGGTAGAATGTGGGTTGTATTTTTGTAACCAAACGTCACAGTAAAATGCCTGAGGAGGTGCTGAAACCAAAGCGCCAATATCAACACAGGCTTGCACACCGTGTTTGCTAAGGCGACCACTTCGGATGGATCCAGAATGAAGCCACGCTCAAATGATGAGTCCTGGCAGGGACAAACACCACAAGAAAGAAGATTCCTGTACGTTAAGTTTGTCACTAGACATATATTGATGGGACGAAAGGAACAGAAATCGCCTTATCACTTCGCATCCCAAGGGTGGATCGTGCAAGCAGCAGTTATGTGGGGAGAGCTGGGGCAGCTCCGGGCGCTGGGTGCTGCTTCTTCCCTTCCCCAGCACATCGCCGCAGCCTCGTCCCCGGCCTCTCCATTCCCCTCATCTCCCCAAGGCCAGCTCGGTGCCACTGTAATTTCGGCTCTGCGCTCCTCAGGGCTCTCATCGCCAGGGAGACCTGATGCAGATCACACTTGCAGGGCCAGCATTAATTACAGCACTGCCAAGCATGGGAGGCAACGGGGAAGGCGCCAGCTTCTTCAATGAAGCATGGGAGCTCCATGGCCAAATCCCACATGGACCAAAATCTCCCTTTGTCTCAGTCCCGATGGGGTCGTTCAGCCACCAGGTAAGGAACAGTCCTGCCAGTAAGGGATGCAGGCACTGGCTCATCACAGGGTGAGCTGCACAAGCATCCCAAAATAGCTCCACGGTGATGCACGGCTGCTCTGTTTCACCCTGTGGTCCACGAACCTTTGGGAGGCTGTACAAAGAGACGAAGAGAATGAAACCTTTCTGCGAGGAAACTGAATTCAGGGGGTTGGGGTCTGTATGGCTCCTGGGAGCTTTGAAGAATCTGCAGACCCCCTACAGCTGCGGGGGGGTGAAGAAGCAAGCTGAGAGGTATGTCCACACCGAGATAGTGTGTATGCTCTGAGCTCCCACAGAGGGAGGGCAGCGGGGAACAGGAAGGCTGACTCTGCTTTAATTTCACCTAATCTACCCAGACAGCACAGGAAAGGGATCCAGATAATAATGGATAGCTAGGGAAAGAGAAACAGACCAATAAATAGCGTAGAGGTTGGGATGAATCTAATTTTTAAAGCTACGTATCTAATCAAAGCAAATTATGTCTGCAGCCTGACTCTGGGTAATGTTAATGTGCAATAAGGAACATTAATTATGTCCCATCTAATGATTTTTACATTAAAGATGCCAATTCTGCTTAGAGCTCTGGAGAAGACAATATCCTCCTCCAGAGTGAACAGAAGCTGAGTTCTACATGATGTATGGCTGGAGCCGGCACCCAGCCTCCCCCAAACCTGGGCCAGGATGCAAAGGGCAGCATGTGATTTTGGACCACTGCCTCCTCCGGAGAGCACTGGCGTGGAGAAAGCTGGCTCAGCCTCCTGGAGCCACTGGAGAAGGACACCTCATGTCACCGCATCTTGTCACCCGCCACCCTTTCCTACAGGCACCCAGCACCTTCTGCTGCTCCAGCATCCCCCACGCCTGTTGCTTAGACCTTTAAGCTCAGCCAAGACTCAGCTGTGCAAATCTGACTGCTGCTAATACTAATAAATCCAAAGTCCTCCAAAGTCTGGCTTTACATCCAAAGGTTATGTTGACTTAAAACACCCGTGCAAGCTTCTTACTACAATTTATAAATCCCAGCACAAAATCTGCATATCCAGATTTCTTACCCACTGTGCTTCAGGTTAGCAATAGAAAAAGAAATGACTGAACTCCCTCAAAAAAAAAAACCAAAACCCAAACCCCAAAAAAACCCCAAACTTAAAATGACTTGAAACAGGAAAGATTGTCCTTTCCTTTTCTTCTTTTTCTCAGTAAAAGCGTATGATGGAATCATCATAAAGCTTTTCAGGTTAATCATGTAATTTGCCTTCCAAAAGAAACCCCCTCAGAATCTACACGCCCATTTACATAAGAATTTTAAAAGATCTTTAAATTTATTCCTGAAATACTTGTATTCAAATAGCATTGCTGACATGCAAAAACATTGGGCTTCCTCTAATGGAGCATCAATAATTAGCAACTGGATTCCTGGATGTGACGAAGATGGATAGAACACAAGGAGGTCGCACAAGCTTGTAACAAGCCACTGTGCTTGTTACATGCTTCGCTGGCTTTCCCAGGAATTGGGAAAGGGAATTAATGATTTGTTTAATTAGAAGGAGCAAAGCTGGAAAGGAAGGAGTATTTTACTACAGGCATTTGAGAGCTGCATGATGGAAAGCAACTTAAAACTTTTAAAACACTTAAAAATTACTTTGGGGATGTAAACAAGGCATTGACAATTGTGCTAAAATAAAAGCAAAATGCTTACGGGCAATCCATCTGTAACCCCAGCAACACATTTGCTGTGGTCTCTGTAAAACGCTGGTGTTCAAGTACCTAAAACTTCAATGTAAATCAAAGACCATGAAAACACAGCAATGACAATAAACCAAGGTGAAAGTACATCCATACCAAGAGAAACAGAGATTGTCAAATGCCTTTTAACACTCACAGAACCTCATAATCAGAATTGGAGAATTTACAGCTCAATTTAAATCTCCAGTGAATCAGAAGCGAAACTCTGATAATGCCGTGACTTTTCCAGGGGTAAAGACATCGCCGTATTGCACCTAGCCTTAGCCAGAAGCATCTATCATCTTTATTCGTGTAAGCAATCCTGCTGTGATTTGCAACGCTGCTGTTCATTTACAAAGCTAAACATGAGCCTAAATGCCTCACTCCAGGTTTCCACATCGCTCAGTCTCAGCCAAAATCATCTCCCAAGGCAAATTCTGTCACTAGCGGAGCTGAAAATAGAAGCAGGGAGTCCTGCTTTTCGGTCCTGTGCCTTAATAAATACTCTCCTTTCCAAAAATAGCTCCTGAGGGTGTCTTATTCATGACAGGTTCAGCCATGCCCAGCCCCGTCCTCTCACCTAAGCCCAGCAGAGATCTTGCTCCTCGGAGGAGCCTGGAGGCTCCCCGGGCACCCACGCGGGTAGAAAACAT